GTACTTTAGAATATTCAGGGCTCTGTGGCATCTGTCGTGGAGATGATTAATTTGTTGTTGGAAGGACGACAAATTTATAATCAAAAATGATTATAAATTATAATTAAAATTGATTATAATCAAAAGTGATTATAATCAAAAATTTGACAATAATTCTTAAAAATTTGACAGACTCACTCGATTTGATAATAATGTTATCGTTCATTGTGAGTTCCGATTTTCCAGGGAGAATACCATTTTTGTTGAAATCCATGTAAATAGTTTTGTGAGGGGCGAGATCGAGTCCAAGAAGAGATAAGTCATCTCCAATAGCTATGATTATCTTGAGAAGGGAGTTTTTTTTGTAGAACAGAGTGCAATATCATACGCGAATTGATAGATAGAGACCGGTCTGGGAATACCCGAGACAATGCTCGAAACATAGATTAAGTAAAGGAGGGGGCTTACGACTCCTCCTTGAGAAACTCCTTTATGAATATGCCTACATTCGTTATGGATACTCGAATAAATATGTCTCTCGTAGGTGAGAACTTTGACGAACTTTATGATTTTGTAAGGACAATCTATCTCTGCTAGTTTTTTTATTAATAGATTGCTGTTTACGTTATATAAATATGATGATATTTCTAGATATTAGTAGGGCAGTATTATATTGACTTTTGTTTGAAGCTTTCCTGGATATTTTTAGTAAGATTCATTAAGTTGTCTGAGCAGTACTGACTTTTCCTAAAACCGCTTTGAGAATTTGGTACAATTTTCTCACGTTCGAGCAATCAATGCATTTTATTTTTCATGATTGTTTCAAATAGTTTGCAGAAAGAAGAAGTGAGAGAGATGGGGCAAAAGTTAACTCCGTCTGATTTACTGATTAAATAAACGTAGGATTTTTTCAAGTCGCCCGGGAATTCCCTTGAATGATACATCTCATTAAAGATGCCGACAAGAAGGAGTTGATATTTAATCGGAAGTTTTTGAATTGAGAAGTAATCAATACCATCATGACCGGGGGTTAAGTTAAGTTTGTATGTATATACAGCTAGGTTAAACTCCGCGAAGGTGAATTTACTTTCCAAAAATTCATTTTCTTGGCACCCAGGTATGTAAACACGATTGGTAGGAATTCAGGGAAGGCATACTCTATCGATTGCTTCAATTCTGCTTTCCATTTGGAGATTTTCCGATAGGTGATATGGGGTAACTTTTACCTATTTATTTTTAAGAATTTTTAAGTATTCCATACATTTTATGTCTGGAGGCTTTCAGTGAAGCGTAAAAAGCTTTCTCTTTTTTTTTTTGTTTTTGAAAGTTCTGTGCGCATAGCTTTAAGTATTTTAAATTTGATGAAATATTTTTCGTCTTTGTTTCTTTTCCATGTTTCAAAAACTTTATTTCTTAGTTATTTTATTTATTGGCACTCCTCATTCCACCAAGGGACAGGATTTCGATGCATTTTGTTATTAACTACTTTTTTCAAGGGGATATTATTTTTGATAGCGTCAGAGATAATTTTAACATACATGTCATACTTTTTGTCGGGAGGGAATCGCAATAGACCGATGAAAGGAAGCGATAATAAGCTTTATCGAGTTCTTTACTAACTTTTTGCCAATCAGTGCGGGTATACATCTAATTTTGAGTGATTTTTGAAGATAATAAGATTTTTATGTAGCTATTTGAATGTATATAGGATAGTGATCGGTGCCCCCGGTGTCACAGTGAGCCTGAGTTTTATCTCGGTCTTTCAGATCATCGCTCGTTATTACTACGTCAAGGTTTAATTCCGAGGCTTTGTCTATGTGAGTTATCTGTCGGTATTATGAATAAAAAATTTTGCCTTTTTGACACATTCCAATAGGTACTTACCGTTGAGATCAGTTTTTCTACGATTCTATAATTCATCTTGCCAGGGGTGATCCTGGCTTTCAGGGTTTTACTGTCCGTATAATCATAGGCAGCTCGAAGCATGTGAATGAGACCTTGTAGGTTTGTTGTGAACTTGGCGGTAATGCTGGCGGCAATCGTGGTTGCCGGACGTTTCAAGAAGGAAGAATGAGAGCTGATCAAATGTGAGGGGATAGTCTGCCGCTTTTTCGCTAAGAAACAGTTTAGCTGCACTAAGTTGGGTATCAATTTCAGTGTGAGTAATGTTTTGCTTGTTTTGGTTCTTTAGGAGTTTTTCAGTCGGATAAAAAACAATGGCAGCATTTTTGCTTCATTCGTGTTTAGTCAGTAGGTCATTGTGATCGGAGCCGATAGACAGGCTGAGAGCGCGCTTGATTCCCCCACCAAGAGTCCCGACATGGCCTAGGAGAGAGCTTAAAGATGTCATGATAAGAGCTTCAGTAATTTCAAATGGTAGAGTAGACTTGGGGTTGACATCTTCAAGAGGAGTGGAATTTTCGATACTGGATGAAGAAGGGAGAGAAGGAAAAGATCCATTTTCACAGAGTTTCCTCGGTTATTATTGGTGTAAAAGTACCAGTCGTTGCGACGGCCGACTGGCAATGCCTGGCAAGATGGCCCTCCTCCTTGTAGATAATGCATGTGAGCTTTTCACTAGATAGGTAAAACCAATAAATTGTATTCTCAAAATTGATTTGCATACTCTCTGGCAGTCAACGTATATCTTCCGGCTTGATGTACATTTACCTCCCAAAACTCATAATATGTGCAATTCAGTTTCATTCATTTCTGCTCTTAGAAAAGTTATTTCCGATGTAGGTGTGATGTCGAATTCAAGCAATTTCTTTTTAATTACTAAGTATGGTATAATGGGGTACACATTAGAAAGAATAATTCGCTTGGCTTTAAATACTAAGAGTTTAAGAGAAAGTGAGTGAGAGCCAATGTTTACGTCAATCTTGTCGGCTAGTTCTTGCGTGCTGAGGTATAAATAAACTCTACCTTGACAAATTCTTGAGGCAAATGATATTCTGAGGGCCGATGAGTTTTCCCACTGCTAAAACGTAGTCTTTGATATGCAAGCTTTCAACTGCATCAGTGACGATAGCTTGGTCTTCTTTGGGAATTGCACTACATGAGAGTATAGTACTTTAGTAGTTTTTCTTTGTTAGAGATTATTGCGTGGGCTTGAGTTTGCGATGAAAGACCACCCCTGTTGCCCGAAAGGGTCATCGTCAGTGTGTCAATGATGAAAAGAGTGCCACTGCACTTTTCCACTGATCACAAGCACTATGTTCACTTCACACTGTTATATAGCTGAAAAGTTAAGCATATGACACTCGTATGCAAACACTTGACGATACACGTTATACCTCTGTGACAGTCCGATCAAGACTTATGTTATTAATTTCTTAAAGCATTTTCATATTTATTCCATTTATAAACTGAAAAAATTCTAATAATTTGAATAATTTGAATATATTCGCGCAAAGAACAATGGCAGTTCATTTTTGTAAAAATATCCATTGAGAATATTTTATGATCTGTTATTTAGAAAAGAATATTGCAAGCTATTTATTCCATATTTGATGCAAATTTCCGGTTTTTTTTATTAATTTCAGTTGACAATTATCGAACTAAAATAAATAATCGTATCAACATACAGTTATCACAAAAAACCTTCATTAGTCGAACCATCATAATTAATTATTATATAATAACAACAAAAAAAATAATATTGAAAAAAAGTAAAGATTTAATGAATATCATCGTAAGAATACTGTACAGCATTGAGTATATTGACTTTCTTTGTTTTGAGAAGCACTGCGGCAATCTGTAAATAGTGTAATTACCGATCACAAAATATTTTTACGTTGTCGACTTCTTACATTTGTAAGAATAGTTTTCACTTTAATCACGTTTATTGAAATTGATGAAATATCACCTCATAATTTGTGAAAATTATTCTTGAATTATAATTGCGTTTAAAAACAGTATGAGTGTCGATTTTTAAATATGACCTTTTAATAATTTAAAATAAAATAATGAAATAGGAAACTAACTTAATAATTAATTTGATACTTCTATTTTAATAATGAAATTTATTGCAGGTAAAGGAAAATTCCAAATTTCAACTAACAGCTACAAATGCAGACTGCCATCACAGAATAACAAATCAGCTCAACTTAAAACTTTACAACCACTCAATCTGCCACTACACCATCGGGCATGAAAATCTCTGTCACCTTGTTCCCCGATATCAAGTTTTTAGGATTTTTGCTTTTTTCTATTTTTATTTGTTTTAAAAAAGTTTCATTATAAATAGTGTAAATTTCTATAGAAAATATATTTGGTATGTAGTGTATGTTTTTAGAATTTTAAGATTTTATACAAATTTTATTTTATTTTGAGTTTGTTCAAATAGCGCATCCAATTTATGAAATATATTTACAAATAAAGCCGTATTGATATGTGTAGTGGTTAAACTGGTCTAAGAATAAGCATCTCTCAGGTCAGACGATATATTCACCACTAACCCACCAAGACGGTATCAATCCTTGGTGCGCAGAAAATACAGATCACTCCATTACCCGAGTCGGATTCGAACCGACGTCTCATCGCTTGCGCGTTAGTCTCACAATTATTAACAATTGTTAACAACGCTTAAACAAACGCCATAACACATATGTGCATTCGATGTAGATATGGCAATTCTTAGTGAAAAACCGTAACAAGTGTTTTGCGAAAAGGAATTGCTGATTCATGTGATCATGATTTTATAATATATATACCGTCGATGTGTGGTAAGCCACTATACCACCGGGCGGAGCTTTACCGGTCCAGATCTTTACCTTTGTTTTCTTTACTATTTTCGACATTTTTGATTTTTTTAACATAACATCGAACACTTACGTTATTTATAAACCGTATTGATATATATAGTGTACTTTTTTACTTTTTATGGTATACCAGCTAATTCACGAAGACGGTATAAGAAACCGCATTTATATGCGGCTAATTGATTGTCAACGGCTGTGCGACAATCATTTTTAATTTGGCTCAAGAGTCAAAAGCAAGACATCAACAGCGAATTGTATTCAGATGCACGTTGACGGAAGTCGCGCCGTAGAGACCGACGTGAGCACATACGCCCAAGTGCACGGCGACCACGCTGACTTCGCATCGACAGCTGATCGCATCTTTTTTAGCCGATTCACTGTACTAGCATATTTTCTTTCACTGAAAAAGATAATGTGCATAAAAATTGATCAACCGAAAATTGTTTATCTTCTTATGACCAATTTGTAAGATCACAATTGATATGAGAAATAAATAATTTTTATTATAAAATAAACTAATGTCATTCTAAATAATTATTCTTTTGTATCGTACGTTCACGTCAATAAAATGCAATACTTTTTAAAGCATCATTCTACAACTCAAAACAGTTTAATTTAATGAGTGCGTAGATAACGTTATTTCATTTGTACTATTTTCTTGAATACTGTGTTTTGCAAAGCCTGAAGATATGGCTCGTGGATCTTTTTGAAGAGAACAACTTGAAATGACAAAAATTAAGCATTTATAATTATTCAACGCTACTCTGAATCTATGAAACTCACCTTTTCCACCATATGATTTCGACGAGAAATAATAAAATAGCAAATAACATGCCGGAACCGATTATGTAGAATGCAAAATAACATTCACTTATCCCAACACTAACAAACTTATTGCGTCCGTTGCAAGATGGTCGCTTAGTATAAAAACGTGACACTTCTCTAGATTTCAACCCCGACTCCCAAATTTTCAACGAACTTGAAGAAAATAAATAATAAAATTTATTTGTCATTTTGAAATGACAAATAAATATTTCTTTTCGCGAATTGACTGTAGAATCATTAAAACTTACTTTACTCTTATAATTTCTTGTAACGGGGAGCGTTTAACGATAGCAAACAGCGGATCAAAATGATCAATGAAATTCATTTCGCGAAATCCGCATTTTTCATCCTCTTCAAAAGTTTCTTGAAGTATTTTATACCCTGGACCAGTTTCAATGAGAAATGCAAAGAATCCTTGACGCACTTGAGCAATCCCTTCTTCCGGAGTCATCCAATTGGGTTTACTGCCTTTCGGTTCGATCTTCTTCTCGATAATAGCTCGTTTCACTGGATCCTTTTCTATCTAACGAGCGTTAAATTTTATTATTATCTTTAGACAAGCTGTAGCATACAATAAATCGGTAATGAAAGTTACTTTGAAATAATGTCGGTTGTAAACGATATCATTGGCCCCGCATTTTATAGGGCTTTCCAGCAGATCTTTCAAGGTTCTTATCGACATCGTCGTAGATTGTAGCAGAGCGACGATGTTGGCCGAATACGAAGCATACAAATTTAAAACAGCCAGTAAAAGCATCAGCAGGACTACTCGCGAGGGCACCGTATGTGGACTACGTCCAAAGCCTAAGGGAATCGACAATTTCGTGAACAAGAAACTGCTCCGATGCAATCAACGACTTTTGTCTTGTAAGGTTATTAAGTAACAGAAGACCGAGTATCAATCGAGTCTACTTATGCAAATACAGAAGGTAGAATGGTTCATTTTTGTTTTGAGTCTTACCTTGTTGTGCGCAAACGCCTATTATTAATAAGATTTGATCGCTCAACGTTGGCTCAGGCTCATTTTCGCTGAATTCTCTGTCGGCGTACGTTTTCCTCCATTCCCATTTTATAGCAAGAAAGAGCATTACGAAAATTAGCAGCAGAAATACACCGATCGCTATCCATACGGATCGACGGAATGGTAGGGTGAACAAATTACTGACGAAAGACAGAGGCGGTTGCCGAAATATGAATTTTTGTCTAGAAACGAGAAAACAAACGTCGTTTACAAATAACTTCGCCGGACAAACCTCAATGTCAAAGGTATATTTGTGTACTCTTGCCACTGCGATGGACATTCGAATGCTGTTTTGTTAATGTGATTCTGAAGGGATAACTACTTACTGGGTAGGGGTGGACAAAGGAATAAAATGAACTTCGTTCCATCTGTCGCCAATGATGAACATTGACGTTCCTCCGAAATCAATCTCCTTGCGGCTCAGCTGCCCAGTCATCCCAGTCCACGAACCATTTTTGTCACGATATCCCCAAGTATTAACTGTACTATATGTAACTCTGTTTCCAATAAAAACAAACATCACTTAAGTCAAATAGCTGCATTTCACAGCTTTACAATTTGCAAGCATAATTTTAAACGACTTGACTTGAAAGACAAATCTATAATTATAAACTTTATTTCTTTCTCTGCGATCTTCGCGGCATTTTACCTGTAACTTTTCTACGTGCAGTAATTAATTTTTCAACTAATCTTGTACGTTTGATGATCTCATTTTTACTCACTCTTAATACGAACCGACTCGAGAGGCAACATGATACAGCAAAATGAATGCAGTATTTACGTTGCAGAACAGCATATGTTATTTATGGTGACCTTTAAATCGTAAAATTCAAAAGCATAAGAGACTAATGCGGTGCTTAAATCAAACACTGTTCATTCCGAAACTCATAATCATCTTACTTTATATTCCATGTCAAATGTGTAAGATTAAAAATAATCATTCAAAACCTTTTTTTAACCAAAATACATTTTTATATATGATGTTATTGTCAAATGAATTTCCATTTACAAAGTATTGAAAACATTGCTGTTGGAAACTGTTCAAAACAATTATTTTTATAAACGAAGCTTTGTAAAAGTAACTGAATCGAATGTTCAACATTAAAAAATAATTAAAAACTTGTACGAGAAGTATTTTACGATGGTATCATTCATGCATGCTCATGCTAATAAATTTGACCCAATTACCCAATGTACACGAGAAAAATTGACTTACATATCTACTTTGTACACGACAAAAGAAATTAGTCGCCTTCTCTTTATTAACATTTCAATATTTATATGGTTTCATTTTTACATGAATATTTAAAGCAATCTATTTTCAAAATATTTTAACTTCCCGATAATATTCTATAATTATCGTAATATAAATCACAGAATTTTACCAAATTCAAACGCGAACCCGTCAGATTTGTAATGAAAAGTTATGATAAACCTTACAAGAAGAAATAATTAGTAAGATCTAATGACTACAATTAACATTACAAGTAACTACATATATTTACTTACGTTGCATTCATTGCATCAACAAGATGATGAAGCCATACAAAATTACATTTTGTGATCGTATCTATGTGTTTGTCTTGATAATCAGTCAAGTGATTTAGGGTGTCAGGATTTGTTATCTACAAATATGTCAAACACTGTATATAATTTTCATTTGTTTAAAAAAAATTAATCATTTTTCATTTATGAAAATCGTGCTGAAATTAAAGTAGGACTAGGCATATCACATGCACATTATTCTTTACCACAAGGCTTGACTTCAAGGGAGTTTTTTGAAGGTTTTTTCTTCTATGTGAAACAATTTTCATATTGTACCACTTCATGCCGTCAGTACTACTCCAATGTCCGAGATTTTCAACTATCATATTTCGTACTGAACTTGGTCGATATATTGATAAAATTCGTATAAATTTTTTTGTTAATTTTTGTAAAATTAAGACATTACTATCGGGATACATATTATAACTTTTGAATTGTTCTAACACGCAGTTATCTGTACAATTGCCATTTAAGTCTTCAACATCTTGGAGTATAATCCATTTATATGGAGCTGAAAACATTTCCGAGTTGTTTGCCTATTTATCGAAAAGAAATTGGATCACAAAATTGAGTATCACATTATTTTAAAATATTATTGTATATTATACCTTTAGCAGAACCTCTGATGCTCGAGGACATTTTAAATCAAGAAAAATTATGGTTTGGTGCAAAGGAAAATCAATATTGTGAAAATCATCGAAACTTAAATAATTATGAAGAATATCATTTTTTGAGAGACTCCTTGAGAAGGTGAACTGATCATCTATAATTAAAAGATTTTAAGGCAATTTTAATTTTTACCAAGCTCATCTCTAAGCAACCCAAAGTAAATAAGTCGCATAATCATCTTTCTAGAATGATCGTGTGCTTTACCTGATTTACTGCAAAGTAGTAAACTTATTGCTGCTGAGGGGAAAAACAAAGTAGTAGAAGCATTGACAACAAGATTCAATGCTACTCCATCAACTACGTGACAATTAACTTGACCGACGCGAAAAATTTCAAAACTTAGCAGTGAGGAAAGCAAATAATATTTCCATGCATTAATACGACACTTCGTATTCATTTTATTTTTGCATAAATCTGATTTTCCTTGTTTGTGTACAGTCATACATTAATTTTCAAATTAGTAAATTACTTTAAAAAAATACAATTGTTAGTTTTAATAACCTCTCATGTGTAGATACATGGAACAATTGTTTAACATTCTTGTAAAGATTCCCAAGAAAACTAGACATTTATCAAATCGACAAGCGAAAGTAGTCGTTTCAATTATATAAGTGTCTTCGAGAAAAGTACCTGTCGTTACAAAGAAAAATTGCAGATCTAGTTTTTCTAACAACTTGATGAATGCTTGTAATCGATTTCTCCTTTGTATGCTTCAATTCCATTCGTTTGCGGCATTTTTTAATAAGTGGTATTATTGTTCTGTAAATAAATGAAAAGAAAACGTACACAGATGGTATCGCAATACCTTGCGATTACTTTCTCCGTAATATCAAAATTATGATTTTCAACAATATTCAAATCTATTTCTAATATACTTCGTTTTAAAAAAGAATTAAGATATATTTTATTACATTCCGATACTCGTATTCCTAGAAAATTTAGTTACAATTACAGATACTGTGTAAATGGCACATATGTAATGACACACAATTACACTGTACGTGATTGGACTGTACATACTTACTATCAATAAGTAGATACAAATTACAGGTATTCAAATAGTATACAGGCTTTTCTCATTCGAACGTGCAAATATATAGATTGCGAAATGCTGTACCTTTAGAATTTCAGTAATAACTTGAATTAAAAAACATTGCAAAGTGCAAATTTGATAAATAAATAAATAAAGAACAGATATATTTAAAAATATACATAAAAAGTATATTGAAAAGTATTCATTATATTTTAGACAGACTTTAGTGGAGATACAATAATTCTTAACAAAGGCACAAGTTCACACTTAAATTTTGCAACGCTCGAAGATGATTATACAGGTCTTTATATTGAAAATGTAAGACATTTAAGAATAAAGGAAAATTAATAAGTTTGTCGCACTTGAAGTTTGAAAATTCTCTTATACAACAGTAAAACACTCATTCAATTTCTACTATACATTTCATTCATCATTCATTTACGTAAATTTCGTATTCATCCTGTTTACTATAAGCTTTAAAACATTAAAACTTTGTTCAAATAAAAACAGAAATTAAAAATCATTGTAAAAAAGTAAAATAAAATATCTACTTCAAAAATGGCTTATTTACGATGAATTTACAAAGTGGTTTATGTAAAATAGCTTAGATTTTTTTCTAATGAATAACAATTTTAGATTTTAAGTAATTTCAGTTATACTGAAAATCAAGCGCCTGAAGAATAAACTTTTTAAGGCTCGATTAGATTTTGAAATAGAATCAATAGTTTGAAGTTTCAAACAAATTTAAAATTTTATATTTTATCCCATTTATGTAAATTACTATTATATAGATTATAAAAAAAAAACTGAATCAATCATGGATTTATTGAACATTATTAATGAATGATTTAAGAGTAATTGCAAAAAAGTAAATACGCGAATTTATTGCTAATTCAAAATATTCTAGATACATGTATATTTGATTTTTTTTTGATATTTTGATTTATGTAAAAATAAACTTACGTGATAAAATTTTGAGATATTTCATGCAACGACTCAACTAGTGAAATATTTTTTGTGGCTTAAATTGCAGTTACAATTTATTTTAGTGACATTCCGTATACTGAAGATTATGAAAATTTATATATTAAAAAAAATTTTTTAAGACGTTATATTTCATCTAAAATATTTAATTACGATCTAAGTCAGAATCGAATTTCGACATTTCATAGATACACGACACCTAAGCCACTCCAGTCAATTTTTTCAAAATAACAAGACAAGCTAAATATTTTTATCACAAAATTTTCCTAAACATCATACTAAGAGAATTCCATTGGTCATTATAAATTTTAAAATAAATCCGATATTGAAGATCAAAAGTATGAATAAAACGACGGAAAATTTCGAAAATTTAGGCGCCAGAATACACGTACACTTGTTGACTAAAAGCTTTCAAATACTTATAATTATGATAAAAGTACTAACAAATTTCAATTATCATTATACTTGTAGAGCTTTACTCATTAACACAATGATGGGACTTCGCGAATCACTTTAGAATTTGTATGGACATCTACGCATTTGCTTATAACAAATGGAGACAATCTCCATAATACCGACCGCTATTATGTCATGAATTAAGTCGCAAAAATACAATCGACCTTGATGACTAACAGTGTGCTATAATTAAGCACTTATCTTTTCTTTCATTTTAAAAGAAACAGTCCTTCAGTCTTGTCGGAATCCCCTCCTGGCCGTTATTCCAAAGGGAATTCTTTGGAGGTTCGTTGAATGCAGTTCAAGGACAAGCGATTAAGTCAAATTTGATCTAAGCACTTTCAGAGTCATCGCACTCGAATGGTTCACTACTTCGAGGTAGAAGAAGAGCAACATAGCCGTACCTGCATTAATAATATTAATGAGTATAAAAAATTCTTTTCAAAGTGTCGCACTTGTGAATATGTTTAATTATTCAAATATGTTTAAGGTTGCGTGAAAATTTTTACTTACTTGCTATTTTTGTACTTTTCTTGTATGGCTTGCTGGGGTAAATTAGGTGCGCTTTTAAATGTTTTGTGGAGGTGAGAGATACATATTTTAAGATCTTGCAAACTATATCCAGATGACAACTCGAGCTCGTGGGGCCATACCTCTTCTCGTAACGTATGCCGAGCTAATGCGATAGCTGATGCTGCTAAGTGACTCGGCAAGAATTGTAGATAAGGATCAGCTTCCAGTAATGATAGCTCGCACAGGTACTGAAATTATATTTGTTATCATAATAGTAAAATATAAATTCAAATGACTGAAATTTTCAAAAATTTTTAAATATACAAACTTTTGCCAAAAACTGGACCTTTTCTGAAAGATTGTTACTGATACAGTATTCCATCAAGAAAGCAAGAGGAGTTGGTACAGTCAAGTCAAATGATAGCACTTTTAAGATTAGGTGCTCCATTCGTAAGACTTGTTTTTTTGTGTAAGTATCATCTGTAATGTACACAAACTCACCGACTTCTGGTGGGTGTATTTCTTCGTATTTTCTATAACATAAGTTTGAATACGTAAATAAAATGAAAATGGAATCACAATGAATAATTATTAAAAAATATAATTTACAAAGATGAACTTACGCAGCAATGAACATAGCTGCAGTACCAACGAGTTGTAATTTGGCTCTGACTACACTCATATACGATAGAAATCGGTCTATGTAAGAAACGGCCAAGTATAACGTTTCCGTGTTTAAACGATATTCCTCAGCAACTTCGACTAGCCAATCAACCAGAATCGTTCGCATAGAATAAGTAATATCTGGTTGTTTTTTCATGTACCCTGGTTTGGGCCTGTGTGCAGTCTAAAACAAATAAATATATATTGAATTAGTACATTTGAAATAATAATAATCTTTGTGAAAATATCAGATTGTAAATCATCTTTTTATGAAAAATGTAATAGGTGAACACAAAAAAATATACTTACTTCAACACTTCTAAAATAATTGTAAATGTCAGCCCGGTATTCGTCAATGTCATAGAAGTTTGTCCTTGTAATTTTGGAACCTTCCCTTTTAGCACGTGCTTCTTTTTCAGAACTTCTTAAAACTAACGATCTATCCAGGGACATGGGACTCTCCCCAGGCAGAAGAACGTCATGATCTTCGGCTTTTATTTCAACTTCACGAAGAACTGGTCGGTATTGCTCTGAACTTTTCGCTGTGGGATGAATTTCTATAGTAGGCTTTTCTACTTCCACTTTAACTTTAATTTCAGTGGTTTGTTTGACTTGAATTGTTTCCGTTTCTTGGGTATTTCTTATCACATTAGAAGATTCTGTCTGTAACTTGTCCTTGTATATTTGGAAGCTAGGTTCATCTTTTTTTTCTTCATAAACAGAAAATGGTTCAATGTACGAAGGTACATAGCTGTTAACTTTCGTTTTACTGATTTTTTCCTCTTTGCCAATATCCTATAAATAAATAAGTAGTTCAATCCAAATACCATAAGCTTAACAATGCCAACTTTATTTTACATATTTATCAGTAAAATAAAAAAAATTAATATTCAATCAAATATTTTCTATGAATAAAATGCCTAAGTGTTGTGACGTTTTACTCATTTTAAAGAAATATTCGTAAATTTCAGTGACTGTTTTAAAAAATAAAAATTAGGCAATGATAAATATTTTGGAAAATTGATAAATAAATTGATGAATGGTTAAATACGTGCATTATGAAAGTAACTGATAAAGAACAGCATAAAGAGATTCAAAAATTTTTCTGTCAATCATAACTACGTCAATTAATGAAATTCCCTTGTATTTATATTCGTAAACATCGAACCACCATATTTCAAAATGTCTTCCGCCAAAACATTATGGCATACACCCCTTCAATTTTTGACTTGTGTAAATATTTACAAGATTAAAGCTCGATAAATCAATATTCGATAATCGTATGCAGGTCGAAATTGCAAAATTACGTGAAATAAGCAATCACGGCCATGAGACCGAGCGAGCACGCGGGTAAGCATCATTCAAATTTGAAGTCAGCTTCATAACCGTCTTTCCCTCGAAAAGTAGCTCTATCTCTCTCCCACCCTTTTGAAAAGTCAACCGTTGAAACAGTTCCTCGAAGACTCCTCAAATTGTCCGCAGACGACACGAAGTTAATTATATCGACATGAGTTTATAACTTACAGGCTTTCTAACAAAGTTGTTGGACAGAACTCCTAGCACGGCCCGTTTGTTTTGTTGTAATGACTGCTGTCCAAAGGCCGTGACGACATTCTCCTTGCCCATAGGCCGGACACGATTTTCCTGGTCTTCGTGGATGCGGATGGTAGATGCCATGGCGTTGACGTTTACTAGACGTCAAATGTCAAGACGATAGATGAACAACTGGCAGGTTCCACGGGGAAATAGGCGCAGACAGGCGGTTAGGTAGGATGTGAGAACGTCCGCGCGCAGAAGCGTTGTCCTCGACCGTTGTTCTGCGTGTATTCTCTCGTCCTTTCTAGCCAGATGGGGAGAGTCTTCGATGACTCGGCCTTACCTTGTCCTCAGAGCCTCAATTTTGGCATTTTCTCTGGTTCTACTGCCTGGGGATGATGTTGGGAAAAAGGGGTATACCGTGTCTCGACCTCAGCGATACGCGTCTCTCGTCCGACTGCTGCTATGTACGCGCACGGATACTGTGCGCCACACTCCGTACTTTCTTCAGAATATCAATCTATCTCGCTCGCTCTCACGCGCACGGGCTTTTCAAACGGTACAGCTGGCGGTACGATGCGTACGTTACAATATGCTTGAATTTAGCCAATCCACTGATGTGTCGCTGTCATCGACCAATCACTGACCAGTGACATCACAAATGCGTTTATTTTAAGGTTCATTTATAAGAATACGTCGGAAAAGCGCATTTTTCAATAGTCCGAGTCGATTTTAAATTTTCATATTCACATTATAACTTATTTTCAATTTTTATTTATTGCAAAAATGTATGGAAATTCCATAAAATTAATAGAACATCTAGGCAGAAAACGTTAATTTATTTTAATGTACATTTTTAACCAGAAAAACATCATGATAGATAGAATTCAGGAAAAAAAATTAAAATAGTCAAGAAAACAAGGTTTAGTTTCTTGTTAAAAGTTAACTTTGATTTTATACAAAAAATATATTTTTTCGGTAAAATAACGTTATTAGTTTAACGAGGACAGAGAAACTGATCAGTAACCAATGCAAAATCATATTTTGGAATCTCGCCTCTACCGAAATACATGAAAGTGTACTTTTAGTTGGAAGAGCTTAGAAGTAGATTATTCATTATAGTTTAAGTTAAGAAACACCAACAGAATAATGTATAGGTAAGTAGAGTAGAGTAGGAAATTTTTTAAAAAGTTTAAAAAATTTTAGAGAGCACAAAAATATGTCTGCACGCGTTAGAATACCATAAAAATTTGCTTACGGTCATTACAAATACATGTCAGTAGCGCATAACAAATATACTTTGATAGTTTGCCCGGAAAGTGATATTTCCAACTCTACCCTATATCCTACTTTACCCCACTTATCTCTATAAAATATTTGCAGATTTAATTGACATGTCGCAATCGAAAGGTAAATCTAGAAACTTCATTATTCTAAAAAAATGTTCACGTTTCTGAGTAATAAGTACTTGGAAAATTTAAATGCCTTGACAGAATAGAATCAACATAGGAAAAAAGATACAAAAAATATTATTGCATATTTGAGTAATCTTATAAAAATTCACATTTTTTACTTTAAGTTACGTTATTATTTACAACATTGTTAAAGCAAGAAAATATTCTTTATTTAAATATACTTAACGTTACTTAATGTTATTTCATTTCTAATTCTTTATTATTTATTATTATTATTTATTATTGTTTATTATTTGTTATTATTTATTATTTATTCACAAGCTCAGACATGAGGGAATCGGTACATTCAAATAAAAAAGAGCTTATAATTATTTTAATTTTTTTATTTTCAAAAAATGCAATACTGAGGCGCATTATATGTAATAAATAAGTTAAATTGATACATTATATGTAATATACCACATAACGTTTATAAAATATTTTTTATAGCAATTACTAAAATTTCTTTAAAAAAATTACCGTTTCGTTAATTTTCGAAAAGTATAAAACTCAAACGGTTTTTGTCAAATAAAGAATTACATAATATTTTTAACCAATAGGAAAATAACAGTAGTATAATAAATTGTATTCCAATCAATACAGTAGAGGAAAGCAATGATTTTTTAATGAATCTTTTCTTTCAATTCATTATATTCCATAGAAGCATGTAGTTACTCGCGTATTTTGAAAATCTTTGGAGTCATTTTATGACCAAAAGTAATATTAGAGTGATCAGCGTCTTACTACAAATGTATATTCAAAGTATTTTCAAAAGTTCATTATTTCTTCATGCACAAGAATAATGACAAAATCTACTTTCTCACAGCCTTATGTGATATTGCAGCCATATCAAATCGATTCGTTATTCCAATTTGAGCAAAAAAGCATAAGCAACGCGGAATATGAGGAATTAATGGCTTTGGAATAAAAACTAAAGTTCACTTCTTGATAATTCAAAATAGTTCATTATATAGAACTTTTTGTAGTGCAGAAAAGACAATGAATGGAAAGTTGAATGAATTATCATGCTCCAAAATACTCATTTCACAAAAGTGTCAGCTTAGTTCCTGATCACCCTTCCAATAATTAAATAATAACTAGCTATTTTTATAGCATATGAATAATATAAGATGATTAGTAGGTGAATTCACAACGAATAGCTTACGATAAATTGTGTTTTTTTCAACGACAAAAGTGAAAAAATACACAAGTACATAGATGATTCTAGTGAAACGTAGTAAACGATAACGTGTAAAATATGAAGTGTTTTCCAGTTTTTCTCTTATTTAAAAAATATAAAGTGAAATACAATACTCATGCAGTTGTTAAATGTAAATCTTTGTCTATTATTTATAAATGCAGTAAGATATTCTTGTTTAATGTACTTTTTCTTAATCTCATAATCAATTTTAATCCAATAAAAAAATTAATATTGAACAAAATATTATTACATTGAACGATATAGTAGATTGATACGTTGCAGTGAATTCCATTCTAAGAACATAGCGATTGACGAGATTAAGCATCAAGTACGCGTTTTACACAAATGATAATTATTCCTCTTTTTCTGCTTTCTCTATGTCTTGTTTCTCATTTTCACCTGATGAGTTATCACCTTCAAATTTCGGGCCTGGCGCTTCTTCTCCTTCCAAAACAATTTCTTCTGGATCAGGTGCACGAGGTAAAAAGTCTTCACTTGGATACATAGCTTTGAAAATTTCTTTAGCCTGGGAAGTACGTTTATTTTAAGATTATATACTTTAATATATCAGTACTTGAAATTCTACTCCAGAAGTTAAACTTAAGTTTACCTGATTGACAGCAAAATCAAAATCTAAATCTAAATCAGGGCCGGAACAAAGATGAATGTTACTTGGCGCTGATTTGTTAAGTTTAATATCACTTGCTGGTAAGTTGAGATACAACGACCATAATACTTGAGGCATTGGATTAACAGCAGTTTCATCTCTAGCTCCTTTATCACCTTCCTAAAATGCGATATGCATTATTTAAAAATATCATGAGATCACGGAAGATAGTTGAATAAGAAAAATAAATTATTTTAGAAATTACTTGAGATTGATCATTAGCAACAGTTTGCGTATGTGAATCAGTCGGAGTGCGAGAAACAATACGTTCAAGTGGTTTTGCATGTAAAAACCTTTGAACGGCGTAAGCTAAATCTTCTTTAGCATTTTTCGTACGTTTGCAGGTCATATGAACAATAACTGAAAACAAGTATTCCACTAATTAAATAACTATTAAAAATTTTTATATAAATGTTTTTCACACTTCAAGAATTTTTAAAAGCTTACAAAGTCCTTGCGGACAAGCGTTCGTTAAAGGTCCTAATTCAATTATAGTTACTGCTTCTTGGCCAGGTTTTTCGGGTGGATAGTACAAAAGTGTTAGGTTTTCTTTTTCTCCTTGCATAATTGATCTAAAAACGAAATGGTAATAAAATATAGAATGTATTGCAACATAATATGATTTTATCTTTTGATACCATTATCGAATTTAATTTCAATAAGTTACCTGTCTATAATAAAGACACCACGAGAAATGCGATTCTCTCCTGTTGAAGCAACAATTTCAGGAGGCAAATGTCCTTGTCCAACAACAAGATGTTCCAAAGTTAGTCTTTGTTTTCCGCTTAGAATAGCTTTGCATTTATCCTCACGGACTACAACGCCATCCAAATGACGTTTCAGGCAATATACTCCACCAAAAACAGCACATAATCTGCAATAAATACGTTATTTGTATTAAATTTCTAAAAGTTAATAAAGGTTCGTAAAAAGTAAATTTTACCTGCAAAAACACTGCGGTAATTCGCCGCTGCCATACATAGGCCATAAGAAAGGGGTATTACCATAACGGCCAAGGCTATTAAGAAAATGTTTTGTACGATTTACTCCCTCTCTACAAGATGTTTTATCTGTAACCATTGCTATAGCTTGTATTACATAATGTTTGACAATTGGTGTTAGATTCTTGGTATTTAAATATTCAAGGAATGTCTTATCACGGAACCCTGTAACAGTACATGAAGTATTTTATTAATGCCTCATAACAGTATTCATTCAAAAAAGTACAGCTCTAATTTTGTATGCAAAGCACATTTTATCCTTAATAGGAAACTGTTTAGTGAACTTATGCATACCTATTGAATTTTAAATGCAGTATATATTATCTTTTAAGTTAAAAATAGTTTTGAAAAAGATATTTACTAAAAGAAATTTCTTTCAACTAAATATAACATAAATGATTAGCAGATTTATTATATACTTACCATCAAATTCAGGACTATCAGCTCCTTGGTCCATACAAGATGTAAGTAACTGCATTAGCATTCTCTTTTCGATAACGCTAACAGTTTTATTTGCAAAAACATCTGCTCGTGAGCACGGAACTTGTACAAGTTTATCATCCATATAAGTAGCTACTCTAGAAACTGCTCTAAACTCTGCGTAACGAGCAATATTACTTGAAATCAAGAGTTCTACCAATTCACCTCGTGCATATAGCAGCTGCAATCACAAATTGAAGAAAATGATTTTCTTATATGATAAACTTATTTTGTACAGATTATAGAAGAAAATTACTTTTGGTGCTAAATCAATGTTAAATCTTCTATACTCCTTCTTTATACGATCCACACTCCAATGTTTAGTTTCCTTTTGAACACTTTTGTGTTCATCAGATTTTTCAGCACCTTCAAAATTGGCATTGCCTGAATTTTCAGTTTGGGTATCTTTAGATGAGACTTCAGGTAAATCAGCATCACTAAAAAATAATACAAAGCATTTAAAAAATTAATAAGCAATTAAAATATATTATTTTATAACATCTAAGGACTTACTGAGAAATAAACCATTCTTCAAAAATATTTTCCACAGTAGAATATTGATTACTAGCTTTCAAAAATTTTTCATCAGACCCTAAGTCAGGTTTAAATTCTCTTGTATCACTTTTACTTGTTTTCAAATCTTCCATCCATTTTTGTAAACCATCAAAATTAAATGTTGCCCATAAACCTCCATAGTATTCATTGCTATATAGGTGTCAAGATAATCATTGCATTATGCCAAATTAATATGCCATACAAAAGATAACGCCATTATTGGATCTAATGCATACCTATCCAAATGCAAAACTCTCTTGCCAATTCTACTTGCTGCAGCAGCAACAATGGACTCTGTCATTCCTAAAATTACATGATAATATAAAATATCATTCTATAAAAATGTATTAAACATTTTTCATAGTGATTGCTGACATAACGAAATCATCAAAATAATCTAGTAAGACAGAGATAGTACAAATCTAGTATACCATATGTAAAGTGATAGAAACAGGTACATTTTTCAAGCAAATGTTGGAATATTTATTTTTTGTAAGGATGATAAATGCTTTTAATACAAGTTAAAGAAAGCAACACCATTATCAAAATATTTTCACGTATGTCAAGGCAAAACTCATTACTCCTTGCAAAAGATAGATATGTTTTGTTAAGCAAAATAAATAGTTAAAGTTAAGGCACCATGAATTAGAGCATAGCATTCAATATCAAAACAAAAAACTAGTTTCGAGTAAATTAATAAATAAATAAAAACGTGACCATTGACTTCCGATAGGAAAAAATTGATGATTAAACGAAAAAAAAGAGCAAGCTTTCACTCTCGAGCCGTTCCAGTAACCTCGAATGTTGATTTAAAAAGGAAAGAGTACTAATATCTGGAAAGTAATTAGGTCATAATTCCTTCTGACTGGCGGAAAGGCAAACAGCAAAGACAGCATTCCAAGAAGAAGACTTGCTTGTGACATTTCTCTCTTCTTCGAGATTCACAAGTGAGAGAAACAAGTATGGCCAACAGTGGTGCATACGACATGTTTTAAAAGCCATTGTGCAAAATTTACTGTTCCTACATGGTACTTATCACTGCAAAAGATAGAGAAAATCAATATACCTGTGCCGACGACGATGACATCGTACTCGGTGGGCAAGTCGTCCTCCATGGCGATAGTCGTGTATATCCTACTCGTCGACTCTCAAGCCAGTAGCTAAGCAATTATTACACAGGCACACGGCACAGTCAAAGGAAAGAGAGAGGATAGGAAGGTGCCGCGATACAAAAAAGATCTGCAAGAACGGACGTATCAATTCATCACCACATTCTCCGTCCGTTGTACAAAAGAAAAGAATTGCGAACTACGTACTATGTATGTATTTCGTGTTCGGATTCGGATCGGCTTTTTCCTTGTTGCCCCGTTCGAGCAGAGCTGCTACTGCCGCCGCCGCGTAGACAGGCGTGTCACGGTGTGCGTGGAAGGTGGCGTTGCGCCTGCTCCGGTTGTTCGTTCCGTTCGCCTGTTTTTTTTTGTATTACGCTATCTCTCTCGCACTTGGTTACATGCACACACGACGCTCTCTTTAGTTGGTGCGACGACGCGCTTTTGCTCGGCAACCGATCGACAGCCTCCGGAAAATTTGATTAATGTGACACGCTCACGCGTGCGACTACTTTCATGAAATCCATGTTAATTTTATTACATTCCTTCGTTACTCTGCATTCAAGACCGCAACGTTTCACTTACGACGCAATCATATAAATAGCTTTATTTATTTGTTGATGCATGAGCAGTTTCCTCTATTAAACTTAATTATAGGATTCTTAATTTGCTATATGGTTTTCCAATTTTCATCGTACGAAGTTGAGCTTTTCTCTTTTTATCAAATTATGTGTTTTGTATATTTTGGAAGTTATTCTATGTAATTAAATACGGTATCCACGAGCTTTAATAAATATAAGTATTTCGCAAGAGCCTTAACCAGTCCACAATTCGAATATAGAAGAAATAGATTTACAATTCACAAATAAATAATTGGTTTGGAATCTAAATGCAAATGAAATTATCTTTTTCAAAATGCCAACTACATATACGAGGGTCGTTTGAAAAGTCCGTGCAAAGTCAGAGAGATGGTGCTACTAATGCGTATCAAGGTTATTTTTAGTTAGTGGCATATCTTGGAAGAGCACACACCAAGTTTCAGCCAGATCGGTTAATTACTTTGCGTTTTACATTCGTTTCAATAAAAAAAATCGAGTGGCCATATGAGCACGAAAGACGCTGAACGTTCTGGACGCCCTGTTGAGGTTACCACTTCAGAAAACATTGATAAAATCCATGATATGGTGATAGCTGACAGAAAAGTGAAGGTGCGTGAGATTGCTAGTACTGTAGGCATCTCGAGCGAACGGGTACATACTATTTTGCACCAACATTTGGACATGAAAAAGCTATCAGCTAGGTGGGTGCCGCGATTGCTCACGATTGACCAAAAACGAGATCGTGTGAAGTGTTGCAAGAATGGTTTGTAGCTGTTCCAGCAAAATCCGCAAGACTTTAAGCGTCGTTTCATCACTGTATATGAAACATGGATAAATCATTACACTCCTGAGACCAAAGAACAGTCTAAACCATGGATTACCAAGGGGGAATCTGCTCCGAAAAAGGCGAAGATAATTCCTTCAGCTGGGAAGGTTATGGCAACTGTCTTTTGGGATTCGCAAGGAATAATCTTCATCGACTATCTGGAAAAGGGTAAAACCATTACAGGCGAATATTATTCATCGTTATTGGATCGTTTGAAAACCGAGTTTCTAGAGAAACGTCCACGATTGGCCCACAAAAAAGTCCTCTTCCACCACGACAATGCGCCAGCTCACGCCTCAGCAGTTGTGGCCACAAAACTGATAGAGATAGGGTTCCAACTCATTTCACATCCCCCCTATTCTCCAGACTTGGCTCCGTCGGACTACTATTTGTTCCCTAATATGAAAAAATGGCTGGCGGGGAAAAGATTTTATTCAAACGAGGAGGTGATTGCAGAAACGAATACCTATTTTACAGACTTGGACAAATCCTATTATTTGGAAGGGATTAACAAACTAGAGCAGCGTTGGATGAAGTGTATAAGCCTAAAAGGAGACTATGTTGAAAAATAACAAAGATTTATTAAAAAAAATCAAGCAGTTTTTATTTTTGCACGGACTTTTCAAACGACCCTCGTATGTCAAGGCAATTGATTGATAGTGCAATTTGCAATAATTAGTTACAAGCTTTTACATAAAAATTCACGTATACTGAAATCATCGAGTGAAGCGTTATATTGAAAAGGATGATTTGTAATTCATTCTTGTTTTTTATTATTTGAAATTTAAATGATATTTATTAACTAGACATTCCATCAATGAATACTTTTGGTTTCATTTTCTGTAAATGTAAATTCTTTTCAACTATATCCTTCATTTTTTATTTTATCATTTACCTTTCAACATTATATAGCATTATAACCCACTTTTTGAAAATATGAAAATCTATTAAGCTTACCGTAAAATATTAATAATATGTAATATTCACATTACATATGCGTTAATGTTATTGTTAGTTGACCGTTTTTAATTTAAATCTCTTGGAGACAATTTCGTAACCTAAACATGCCGAATATTCAAATATGGTTTACGTACATTTTCGTATAGCTACGAATTCTTAGTGATCATGGTAATTGAAAACAAATTTCGATGTATATTTTATTTTATATTTTTATTAGTTTTTTTTTGTAATTTTTTACTGTATAACAACATTTTACTTGAAAAAATATCATTATAAACATTTGATTTTTTAAGAGTATAATCGTTCAATACAGTCAAATGCAAATTGCGAAAGTTGTAAACTATTCAGTGCGGATGAGGATGGTATTTCAACGCTTCTCTGCAGAAGTAAACCGAAAAATAATTTTCACAATTTTTCTCCAAAATATGCTACAATGACGTCTCGGATCCATGCATCTGACACGGAAGAAATCAATCGCACAACTTTTTCGATGTAATTTCTTTCTCTTGCTCCCCGTTACTTGCAAGGCTTACAAACGTAAACGCACATAGAAATGACTGACCTCAATTTTCCCTGCTACTGAAGCAACGAGAAATTAAAACCAATGTTATTGCACCTTTTTGCTATCTCACATCCATTCTCAATTGCCATTATTAACTATTAGAAAATTCTCTTATAATACTGAACACGATTAATTAGCAGGTAAACGATGAAATTGTCAGTGTGTACGTCGTTGACATTAGTATTTTTATGAAAACATTCAACTAGTAAATATCATTACTATTCAAAACACACCGATTTTTGTCTATTTTTAGAATAATATCAAAATATATACATAAAAAGAATCTTCATTTGTAAATTAAGATTTAATTTAAGAATATCAGTTTCTTTAGTTTCTTTTAAATGCAGTAAACGACTGAAAACTTGACAAATCAGCGAATGATTCGTGGAAAAGATAAAACCAACATTTCGAACGCTTCAAGATGATCATCATTCTGCTAAATAATTTACCTAACTTTGCGAAATACTAAATTTAATATTGTTTGATTTGACAATGATTTTATATGTAAACTTTACATCGCGCTTGTAAAGCTCGTCATGGTTTACATGGATTAACGTACGCTTAGTTATACTTTTTTATAAAGTCAACTATGTGGGCGTAGAGGAGCGTTTTTGCATCTCGACCCCAAAGATAATCGATATGATTGAATTTTGAATATTCAATCTTGTGTTTTATAACCACATTTGGAAGCTTTTCTACAAGCCTTTGAACGTCCGCAGCTTGCGTTAAAAAGTCATTTTCACTATAAAACACTGCCACAGGAACCTTCACTCGTTCCAGACAGTACTTTGGTGGCTGACTACTTCCATATAGCTTTAAATTTTTAGAGGTACCATAGTCAAACTTTCGAAATGAATCTGAAAAATAATAAAATTCTGAATAACTGCTTATCATTTACAAATTTATTGATAAATAGAGCATAAACCAAATTACAAAACTTACCAGAAAGGATTACTTGACTGTAATGAATAATTTGTTTAGCTGAGGAACCTCCAGGAAAATGTCCAAAAATCAGGGGAAGCATTGACTTATCTAACTGATTGCTACCAAAACCGGCGACTAGATAAAACCAGCAACTATAAAAACTTTTGGTTAGTTGACCAGGGGTATTTCTAATTAAAGTCCCCAAAGCTTTAGCTTGTAACCTATTTCTAGGAAACCACTGATGTATATTGCAATATGCTGATCCCCACTAGAAAAATACAACACGTCAATTAATTAGAAATCAATAAAAATATGATATAATATGAATTATATACTGTGGAATATGTACATATGAAATACTTACTTCCATGAGAATATAGAATCTTACAATAAATTTTATTAGTGGACTACGCTGATTCGAAAGGAATGCTATGGGAGCCATGCTCACCATTCCTTTGACTTTGTCATTGTATTCAGGTCTTTCACTACACATTACATAAAAAGTAGTAGTCCCTTGGCTATAGCCAATATAATGCAAGCTTGTCTGGTGAGTTTTCTCTAAAATATAATCTATCATAGCTGGTAAGTCATAGATTCCTATTTCATGCCAACTGAAAGGAAATTTAGAAAATTACTACATTTATTTAAAAGTAATTAAAGTTTGAATAAGTGCATGATATTCTTACCTAAAATCCCAAAACTCTTTATCTTTTGTAGAATATTGTTTGTGACATTGGGAGTATGTGTTTCCCCTTACATTTGCTAACCATACATCAAATCCACAGTCACATAATACATAAGCTGTAAATAAATATTTATTTCATTAAAATTCATAATGATTACTGAAGGATAAAAATCCAATAGGTTTATAATACATACCAAGAGCTTTTTGGGGTCCAAGTAAAACCCAGTCTGCTGAACTTGATAGTAACCCATGATTTATTAATATTGGTAGTCTAACTTTGGGAGTGGATTCTTCTTTGACTTGTAACGGTGGTGATTCTGATTGTGCTGAACCTAATAAGTGTTCTGAGTCTGGTTTTGATATTATCTCATTCTGAGTCTCTTTGGAAGTTGTTCCTGAATTTCTGCCTTGAGCTTTTCTCAAAACACGATGCAACTCTAATCTATAGCCATCCTCAGTCCAAACGTGATGAGTTTCAGCTATATATCCGTGTTTTGTTATCAGTTCAGGCTGTAGATAAATGTTGAAATGTCATTCATATCAATCGATATAATTATAATAATAGGTTATAGATACTACAATGAAATAAATCATTCTACATAAATTATTCACTATGCATTTTTTAAACATATTAATTCAAATATTTCAACATTGAGTATCAAAAAGTAAGCATTTTCCAAATAATTATTAAATAAATACTAATTATTCTACTGATATATTTAATAAATATTCTAATTGTGTTGAGAGCAGGTTGTTGAACTAAGAAATTATATTTATTGAGTACATAATTATAACTTGGAAAAATTTCAAATTATTTATCAACTAATGCGAAGAAAATTTTTATGTAAATCAAACAACTGCTTTTATGAAACTGCCAATTTTAAGAAATACAAAATTAAAAGTTCAATTAACTACCAGGATATATAAAAACTATAATTGCAAGTGACGTCAAACTTTTAATAATTTAATTATTAAATTTTTATTTTTTTCCTTGAGTTTTAACAAACAATACTTTTTTATTTCATGCAATAAAGATAGAAGTATTCATTTATTATATTTTTACTTTCATATCTACAGATATGAATTAACTGACTCACATTTAATATAATTGACAACTTAATATCTCAAAGATACCTCATTTATGGAATATTGACAGATTAAATTAAATGCGCTATTATCAATTACTTTTTGAAATTAAGCACAAAAAGGTCTAGAAAATTCTACTTAATTCGTTACGAAATTTGAAACGATGAAAGTGTGTTTCATAAGAAAATTGATGTTGTCAACTAATAAAAACATTCAATGCAGGTACACATTTTTCTCAAATAAAAACTTATGTAATTTCTAATTACATTTTTTAAAAAGATATTGAATTATTAAAATTGTTTCGTCGAAGGACAATTGAAGGGAAGAAAAGGTTATGTTTGAATATTATGAATAAAAATCAGATTGACATGCAGCACATAATACAGAGGAACATTTCGAGCATCCATAATTTCCGTGCATCGCAAATACACAATCAATCAAAACATTACGCACGTCGCGATGCTGCTTTGATCTCTCGCAGTGTTTCCCTCCCACGAAACATGAATCACCGCGTCAAAGAGTTTGTGTCAATACTCTAAGTATATAATTGCGCCATATGCGTAAAACGTAAAAATACCTCTAGCCCCAAAAATACAATAAACGAAGGACACGGGAAAAAAGAAAAAAATAGCGAAAATAATATTTATAAAACTAACCGTCGTCATGTGAACTTCATCATGATTGTCTTCGCTCATTATATGCGTAACGAGTGTCTCGTTACTTGGCACCTTAAATCGGGCAGGTGCTTTCCTTTGATCAACGTCGTGGTTGTTATTGATGCTGGTGAAAAGCCAACGACCGAGGGTCTTTAACGGCGGCAGGGAATGCGCGCGCCAAATCGCCGTCAGGAGCCTCGCCACTGCCGTGTCGTGGCTGTTTGTGCGATTTTCTCGCGCAGCTATAGATATTGGATAGAAAGTTTTCTCTTTTACAAACTTGACGTTGACGAAGGCACTTTTTGAATGTACACGGCCTTTCTATTTTATAACTGTAGGTTAAATAACTTCGCTTCGAAAGTGCTGATGGATCACGCACAACAACCCCGCACTCTCACAATTGAATATAGGTATATCTCCTCAAAAATAGCACGAATATCCTTTGTAATTAATTATCTGGCGCTTGCTCTTTGTGACAAGCAGCTAATACAAAAATACACGTCTGCACTTTGACAGCACCAAGCAGTGACTGGTGTTGCACGAACCGTATGCGCGAGGCTATAGTAGCATCTAAAACTTTTGCTTGCGCGTGGTACGGTAGTGGGGGTAAAGTACGATACACACACACAACTTGTGCGCTCTGTCGCAAAACTCACACATGTGCGCGCATGAGCAGAATGACGCAAGTTTTGGAGCAGTAAGCACACGTGCTACACTCACACAATGGAGTGTTACGTGAGCATGGATGTATATGTGCATGCATGTATTTCGAATGTGCGTTCTAAATTCGAGAGATACAAAAGAGCGCAGATGAAGAGCTACAGCGTGGAATGCGTCGTTGGTGTGAGGAGAGGGGGGAAAAAGAAGCGGCAGAGAGTGGAATAGCCGATGCTTATTAGTTGACCCAATGAGACGAGCCCCCGGCTTTGCCTTTGTGCATGACGTCTCTTTTTTTTTTGAAAAATCTGTCGGGACAGCTAGTCACGCGCTTTCTCAAGCATTACAATGCTACATGGGATTTTTGAGAAAATCTTCCAGTGTCTATACTTAATCGACACTTAAGTCGTGTATTGAGAGCTGGCTTTAGACACACCTATCTAGAATATTATGGAAATTTCACCTTGCACCGACCTATTATCTTGTTTCATTAATTTACGGATCGCCTTATGCCTTCAATTCGTCAGTTGTTATTTTTCACTACAAATGGCAAATTCTTTTATGTCGGCAGTAGTATGTTCGCAAGCATCATCTCTGATTTGCTTTGTTCTTTGTAGTACAGGGTTTTAAAGCACTCAAGGTCTGGATGAAAAACTTGAGTACACAAAAACAGGCTCTTCTAGTGTAAGGCGACGACCAAACTACTGTTTCTATCTCTATTTTGAACTTGTCAAATATTTATGATTCCTGTTTTAGGAATTTGTAAAACATTTAAGCAGCACTGGAAAAACTTGAACAGTTTTACGGGTAACTCCGAGAAACTTTTCCAGATTTACATATGCGTCTTTAGTGTTCTTGTGCAATGTCACATTTGTTAATATTTTATCGAGATGCTGAATCGACAAAACTTGATATTGTGCGATGAAAAATCTCGACTCTTATGTCACTTTGCGTCACTAATAACATAATTATATTGTTTTTAATTTTATTCTGCTCAACTTCATGAGCTTTTCGAAATAATTCCGACTAAATAAATATAATAAATATAATTGAGCAGAATTGAGAACACATATTTTTCGGAAAAAATTGAAACGTTTAGTTAAACTTTATCTGATTTGGTTCAGTCTATTAAGTTACCATCAAAAGTATGTAAAGTTGAGAATATTTGTTTACGTAAATTAACGATAAGCTAATGAAGACCTTGTTAAATTTGACATTGCACATCCACAGCATAACGCTATTTTTACTTATCTAACAATTCAAATACACACAGCGCTCTTCTGCGTATATTTTCCAACAAAGTTGACATTCAAGTTTTATCTTAGAAATACATTGAACGGTTATGAAATGTTCAATTTTTTGATTCGAAAAACACAATCACCCAAATATGTGCACGCTCGCAGGATTTTGGGCGAATCAATTTGTAAATACGCTCTTATGTATAATTTAATAGGTTTATTAGGCCAGGCTCTTTCGAATCGCGTCAAAATTCAGGTACTAAAATAAATTAAAATTCTCTGCTTTCGTTTCCAACGGCACTTTATTGCTGTAACCTTTGCCATATAAATAATTCGGATCTTTCATTGACAGTGTTTCATCTCATGTTGATGCAGATACTCTGATTTTTAATTACCAAATCCGTTATGTTTTATTAATACATTTCCAACAATAATGTAAAAGTCCGTAAATTTTAAAATATGGTACGCGATACGATTTTTATTCACATAAATTATGATTTATTAACGAGGAAAAGTAATGAATCTTAATTGACTGTTGTTCTGCACAAATTGTAAATTAAAAATTGAGCTGCCACTGACTGACTGATTCAGTCATACAAATCCAATCCTGAGAGAATCACTTAAAGGAAAGTAAAGAGTTTCATCATTGATTGATATTCTTTTGAAGTCACGCTTCGGCAAACAAAAAAAAAACAAAAAAGAAAACAAAAAATATATACACAGAAAGAAAATGTTCTCACTCAAACCCTACGCCGAACACATTTCTTTTCTCTCTTTCGTTACGCATTCTTGACAATACCGGTTTCAGTATATGTACGAATCTCTTGCCGAGCCGTCCGCTTATTGACATTTACAATAATATTAAACGTTTTTCAGCGGAACATCGATGTGCTCTGTCGCTCAGCTGGCGAGCGCGCTAACGTCATCGGAATTGTTGACCGAAGAGGAAACTACAGTGTGTTGCCAAGCGCATTAAGCGTCATTGTTTGTTTTCTGTGTATTCTCTCGGCGGCGACGACATTCGCTCATTACTTATACTCCTTCTCGCGACTTATCGCCACGAGGAAAAGCGGGCGCTCTTCGCGCTTTTTATCGGCCTTTTTTTTCTTTTTTTTTGCGCGCGCGCGTAAAAGTAGCGCTCCGATTCTTACCTCGCGCGCTCGAATTGTTCGCTTTCCAGTGGAAAGCCAAACAGCTTCCCGCTTGCGAATACAGCCTATCGCACGAAATTTCCGAGCTAATTGCGTATCTCCGCCGAGAAACGGGATTCTCAAAGAAAGTGACTGCACGCGTTGCGCAGCGTGCAGCCGGTTTTGCTTATTCCTTGCAGAGGTGGTTTTCTCGATACGTTCCATACTGAAATTGTACCAACTCTCAATATGCCACATTCATAATTTCAATAGCTGCCAATAACTTTGAATTCGCCACCTGTACAATACACAATATGGCATTACGCCGCCACAGCCAGTAGTATCGAAAACATATTTTGCACGTGTACTTTTTCTTTTCCGCGTGCAAACGTAAATTAGAAATGACACTTCTAAGCTTTGGCTGTAATCTTGCCTTCATTGCAGAGGCTTCTCTTTCCCGTCAGTCAGATTGAATGGAAATGTTTGCCCGCTTGTGTTCCTCCTTGCAATCACGTCTCGAGCCATTAATGTTATAACGACTCGTCAGAATGCCAGTTGCAAAAACTCTCTCGCGAATAAAAAAACAGCCGGCGAACTTTGCTCGGGCGAGCCAAGCAAAGGCTGGACGCTTGTACTCGCAAAAATACTTGTGACCTGAGGCTGCATGCATCTGCAATGCGAATCAGGCAGTATGCTGTACTTGAAAAATTTTCTCCGCATTACACAAGCTTTTTTTTTACGCACACGCCAGCTCGGCTTGCTAATCGCGCATCATTGCAATTGGCGCTGCATAAAATTATCACCGAGAATGATTATCCGCATAATCAGGCCATTAATTTCATTAGCGTTTGCCGATTCGAGCAAGTCAACGTCTATTACACGCACGTCGTAAAATGTTAAAGCAGGCGTTGGATTTCAGTGTCTATATAAGAATGAGCGCATTTCGCGTTACTTCCTACTTTCGATTCCGCGCGCGCCTCAGCGACACAAGCTGCAATGCGTCATTCCAACTGGAACCTACGAAATCTACAAAGATAAATAATGATGTTATTGACAGTCACATTGCGTAAGACGCGCATAGAGTGCAGGCATCTTCATCTAAACTCGACACTTGGACGGTCGAGAAATAGGTCAAAGAATAGTAAAGAGAGCTGCTGTGATTGCGCGCACGTATCAGGGCCATTTATTTGAAATCCACATCAATAAGCGTCTCTAGAAAATCTACGAAGAATGAAACATTGATGTTGATCGGCGAATGTCAGAGAGCAACTCACGTCAATAATCCAAGCAAATATTCAAGTACTTGGTTTTATCATTATTTGCCTACCAGTAGTATCTAGCAAAAAAATCATTTGCCGATAGTTATACTACGCAAATCCTCGAAAGGCACTTTCAAGTGTGTGTCGCGCTTACGTACGACACTTTGCATCGGCGAAGTCGCGCAATCAGTGTCGCGATCAAAGAGAGTACAACTAACAACGCATTTGTCGTTAGTTTCATGACGAAGGCGCAAGATATCGCAAAGGCTTTCCCTGCCAGCTGGGATCTGCCAGTCAATAAACTCTCAATAATATTGTGAATCACCCAGAAGGAATCTATGCGTGTCGCGGTCACAAAAGACACAGCGTCGACAAGAATTAGGTGCGTGCAAACTGCGACGCAACTCGTGCATTCGAATCGTTAATCTTGGACACAAAAGCCGTATAAATCCCCACGCGAGAATGAACGATAAATGCAAGTGCTCGGGCAGAAACTTATACACATGCTTATACGTATGCCCGCACGCGCGTGTACATGTGCATGTATATATTTGAGATTTGCGTAGCATATGTAACGTCGCAATAACGTTGGCATTGACACGCGCGCTCACTCAAACAAATTCCAGCAAACGCATTGTTGCCTAGAAGAGAGCGAGGCGGCATCGCTTTTAGCTGTTATCGTTCGCGCACTTACACAGGCACCCACACACCCAGGCAACAGCAAAGGCATCCGTCATCGAGCCGCCCGATAACCACCGCGCTCTAAATGATTATATATATTGTACGCGCGCATGATCCTCGGTATAATGTGCGCACAAACAGTCGGAACGTCAAAAGTTTACGATGAATGAAGCTCCCCGTGAAATCGATCGTTATGGCTTTACACTGAAAGTCTCGAAGGATCGAATGCACTTCGTACGACTATGACGATTGACGACGAGAGCACGTGCAAATGATTTTTCTTTTTCTGCTCGTGACGTTTACACTCACGTCGTCAATTGCGACGGCAATAATTATTATATCGTTACCTGCAACGCAAATGGATCGACGACCTTTCGCGGCATCGTAACTAAAAGAGCAAGGCAGGTGCGCATGAAAGGTGCGTCCGCATTCAGGCCTCAGCATCTTTGTATCGGATATGATTACTTGAACTTTCTCTTTCCCTTACTGATAATTTCACGTGCCGTTCGTTGCTTAGGGATCGTTTTTAAAGAAAAGTTTTGTATTGCAATATCAATCTAATTTTAAAGTTCTGTTCGAACTATATAAGCTGCTCATCGAAACTTTCTATCCTGCCAATTTGTTAGGTTGCATAAAAAATATTCAAGAAATTCAAATAGACTGAAGTTTCTGCTCAGATAAACATGTGAATTTGACATTATAAAATTAAGTTATTTTCCCTTTCGTAGTTTTCACAGAGTATTGTAATAAATAATCTGTATCGATACAATTATTTTATTAATATATGCTATCCCTTAATTTAACCATTATTCATTGTGTTGCAATTACAAGTTTTGCTCAATTCAAATTTCAACCAAATGTTCTATATATGAAAACCCCATAAAAATAATTTTTTTCTCTGATAAACTGGTATCTTACAAATACTGAAACATTGCACTGAAAATGAAATGAAGCGCAAATAATTATACGCATATATTGTCAAAGAATGATCGTAAGAAGATAAATAACTTATCGTACTTTCGCCACTGAAAACTTCCGTTGATTAATTTTCATGCATCTTATCATTTGCAATGAGAGAAAATACGCTAATACAGTGAATCGGATAAAAGAAAAAGGTGCGATCGGCAGTGAACGCGAAGTTAACGCGGTCGCCGTGCACTTGGGCATCTGTTTACGTACGTCTCTGCGGCGCGACTCATACCAACGTGCTTCTAAATAGATGGCTCTGTTGATGTTTTCTTTTGACTTTTGAGCAAAATTAAAGTTAATTGTCACAGAGCCGTCGATGGTCGAGTGATCTAAGGCTTCGAGACTGATTGACACGCAAGCGATGAGACGTCGGTTCGAATCCGACTCGGGTCATGGAGTGATCTGTATTTTCTGCGCACCAAGGATTGATACCGTCTTGGTGGGTTAGTGGTGAATATATCGTCTGGCCTGAGAGATATTTATTCTTAGACCAGTATAACCACTACACATATCAATACGGCTTTATTTGTAAATATATTTCATAAATTGGATGCGCTATTTGAACAAACCCAAAATAAAATAAAATTTGTATAAAATCATAAAATTCTAAAAACATACACTACATACCAAATCTATTTTCTATAGAAATTTACACTATTTATAATGAAACTTTTTTAAAACAAATAAAAATAGAAAAAAGCAAAATCCTAAAATCTTGGTATCGGGGACTAACGTGACGGAGATCTCCAGCCCGATGGTGTAGTGGTCAATCACACATCGCCGTGTATATTATATTCAAATCAAAATGGGACCATGACCAAATGATTCGGCTATTTCTTTTTGCATCATAATTTTTTAAAGTTTTTTCACTATAAATTGATGTTAAATATCGAATACGTATCTGGGTTATGGTGTTTAAAAATAATTATAAATAATATCCAGCGATGAAGATATATTGCACGTGATTGTGAACATTATCGAAATACTGTCTGATACTTAAAAGAAAAATCAACAAAAAAATAGAAATAAATTTTTCTTTGTTATTTTTTGTTAAATATAATTAACCTTTAGAGGGCCAGAGATCAATATACTAACGCTATCCCCGATTGACATTTTCCCTATGATCAATCAATGATATAAGATACTTTTTATACCAGTTTTCCGAGGGCCACACATATATATATATATATATATATATATATATATATATCTAAAACATGAGTTGAAGACATATATATTCGTTATTTATTAAAAAAAGCAGTATTTATAAAGTTTTATTCAACGTCTAATATTATAGGACTTTCAAATTTGATCTTGAAATCATCATGCTATGGGTGGTTGTAATGTTTCGATTCGAGTCGATTTATAATTTTTCAATGACAGTCTGCATTTGAAGATGATAGATGAAATCTAGATTTTAATTCTATTTGATTTAAAATAGTTGAAAAGTAATTCTTCTAACCGAGGCTTGTGCTGCTCCATGAATAAAGTATAATTGAAGAATACTTTTTACGAATTTAGAAGTAATATTTCAATAGTTCCATAAAACAATTATAGTGCAAACTATTCTTTCAATAGTGTAACAAGTTGATAACGCGTAAATCTTTTGTGGTCGGTAAGTACACACTGTTTACAAATTGTCACAATGTTTTTTAAAACAAAGAAAGTCAATGTACTCAATGATGTATAGTGGTTTTGTAATGCAGATTTGATAAATAAAATAGATGGGAAGCAGAACGAGTATCAGAATTTTGAAATGCACTTACCATAATCTTTGAGCATGGAGTTATGGTGAAAGATCGGTTCAAAGTTTCTTATTTCCAATTAAAATGTAGCCAAAGCTATTGAACTTTTAAAATACGTAGAAATTTACTTTTTATATTGAAATATCACTTTTTTTAACTATTTTTTATACGATTCTAAAACCGTAAGTGATAGAGTAAATGATTACATTATATGAAAAACATTTTGTTACCTTATTGTTAAAGTTGTTATGTCATTTATCATATGATCGGTACAATGCATATGCACACATGGCAAAAAATGTATTTATATATGTGGAAACAGTTTCCCGTAGAAAAAAGGTACAATCAACGGAATATAAAATACGGGAAAATCTACTCTCCGAATCGTTGTTCAAATAAAAAAATTTGTCCAAAACTAGCAATTAGCATGAATGATTGCTTTAAAATATTCAGCAAAGACAAAAGTAATGAAAGTAATGAAAAATAAGGAATATGTTATTTACATAGATTTTAGAAACTGATGTTTACAACTGTTACACGTAGATATAAATCCATTTTATTATTTTCGTTGGCAACAAATTATTTGTTAAAAAAGTTATCGTGCATCATGATTATTAAGTGACATGATAATTAAAAAAAAGATTAACTAAAAGTGCTGCAATAGATATAATTTTATATAACACTTGACAGACGTTATAAAATGAATGAAGGCCTTTGATTTTCGTATCAAAGCCATAACTACATACTTATCAGTCAACTTGGCATAATCACATTGGACTGATTTAACCCTAATTTGTGTATACGTTGTAACCAAACCAATTAATAAAATAAGGAATCCAGCCTTTTTACCATCTATTCCGTTGATAAAAAGGAACAAAAATAATATAAGGTTAATAAAACTTCGATCACTTGTTCTGTCATCGAATTTTTTTTTCTTTTTATTTTATAATTATTTTATAATAATAACCTCTCAATGCACCTTAGTGAATTTCATGAGCATTACTTTTGAAATTTTATATTTACAAAACCGCAATGTGATCACGTGGTGTTTTATGTGAAATAAATTGGAAAAAAATAACGTCGTCCTTATAGAATATACATATACGCCGTTGATTCGAACAGCAGCTTAGTTGGATTTTTTTACACTTAAAGTTATTATTAAAACATTACGTGTTTCGCTGCGCAAATACTTATAGTTTCGACGTAAACACATAAATGACATTGTAATTTATTCTAAGCGTCGAAAGGTTAAATCGTACAATATTCGACTCATTGTTCTAAAATCGCAAGTATAATACGTTTTTGATATTGAAGATTATCTCGACCATTCATTCATACTCCTTTTTATTTATTATTTACACATCCGTAACATTGATAGATTTATTCAAATATACTATATTTCTTTTCAAAAACTTTTGTCAATTGGACAAGGACTTCTGTTTTTACTTCGGTTTAGAAAATCAATAAATCATGACTATAAATAATTGCAATATAGCTTTTTTCTTGGCAATTATAAAATTTCTACAATTCTATTTAGATATAATTTCAATTTTTTATTCACCGAGAAATATTTAAAAGCGTACACCATATTATATTTTGCTTTTTGCCTTGCACTTATATCTCGTTTAAAATTGATAACATATTGTAGTACAGTTTGCCTATTTATATAATAATATAACACATTTACAGTACATACCGTCAGTTGAAAAATAATCGCTTCGTGTTAAAAATAAATGTTTTTTTCGAGTGACATAAGCTTTTATTTAATTTTCTTTTCAACATTGCTATAAGTTGTGTGATTTAAGTAATCAGAAAAAATGTAACTTTTCTTACACAAGTCGTAGGATAAAAATAAAGTTATGGTGGTATCGAATCATTATAAGACGAGAATAAACTAGAAATTTATAAATAGAGCGAATACCAGCTCTTCCAAAAATGGCATCTGAATAATGCATAATCTAAGGAGGTTATCGGAATGAACATGTTATTCCTTAAGATGAACGCCAATTTTAGCCATGAAATTTATCTATTTTCTTCACTTACATGCGTTATAACTCGTTTTAATTCGAAATATATTTTTTTAATAGAGAAATATTTTTCTTCCAGATTTGAAGGAACATAGTTTCAATTAGAATAGCACTTGATTAATGATATCTGATATATAAGAAATGAAATCAAATTTTTTGGATTCTGCGTTGAGCAAATAGCTGATATATTACATAGTATATTTAATATACAATTAAATCAATATACTAATTTATATGAAGGCCGTACAAAAAATTATTTGGACTTCTGTTACATATCCACATACCTATCGAATTTTACAGTTATACGAGGACACTATGTTGAAAATGTGGATTACAAATAAATACTTGAAACAAAGATAAACACTCGATAAAATTATTCTGCGTGAGTGCTAAACTAAACTTTGTTCTCTGCATAAAAAGGATAGAAAGCTTGTTTATCATATGCGCAAATCATATCTGCTTTTTTGTGCATATAACTACTTGCGCATGTAAATGACTTGTACCTACTGTGTCCGCTTCCGATCATGCTATTAATTCATGACTGGCTTTCAGGCTTAATTAGGAACATATTGTCGTTCGCTACTTCATGTTATTTTATCCAAACTTTTATATACGTACACTGCACAATGTACAATGAATTTTCACATACTAACTGATCGTAAGACTACTACGAAATGCTATGTAACGTTTCGTTCCAGATTTTTAAGCCAGGCGTCTCGATTTTTATTTTTTGTACGCATTAACTTTTACTCCTCTTTATTATTTATATCGTGTAAAATTTGTCTCACAGTCTGATCATTAAAGTAGTCAACATATATCTAGAATTATAAAAATTAATTGAAATCAGTGTTGTCATATCTAACGAAAAAATTGTAGATGAATTACTACTTGTATCAAGATTAAATAAATACTATCGCTTATAGGTGAGCTACTGCGTTTTCATAAATAAATTCTTAATTACATATACTTTTGACATTCATCAAGTGTAACGTTGAAAATGTATTTACGCTCTAGCAAGATAATTCTGGAATGAGTCGTTGTCTTGTCATTAATGTGTTTACTATAATCTTCTACATTTTCAATTCAATATTCTTTGTCTTATAAATACTTTTTTCAGATAAGACATCGATATTCGCAAACAACGCTATCATTGTTTCTAATGGCAGCTTTTTATTAGAACCAGGGAAAAGTTACTTTCTGACAATAGAATTTTCAAGATATTTAAAGGAAAATTTACAAAAATTGTGTGCGAATTAACTAATACTTCTTACACCGTTTGTCGTATGAGTATTTCAATAATTCTCGGTTTGTTCCCTTTTAATTTTTTCTATACAATTTTTTACATAAGAATATGAAAAGATGAACATGCGATCAAAATTTGTTGAAAAATAATTTGAATTTTCTTAATATTCTCTTGTCAAAAAGTACATTGTTACGATCCCTTTCACTATTAAATTATTCAAGTACTTTCGATATACACATTATGTAATACTGTGTACTGTTTATATAACTCGATAATAGTTCTCTGTTAAAATTTGATTACTGTAATTTCAGGAATTTAAGGGCCTTCCGCTAGTTTTGTACAAACGTGGACGACTCTTACAACACGCAAAACTGGCCCCCCAAAAATGTCTAGGTACATTTTTTGCCTTGTCAAAAATCATCTCATAATTGTCATTATTTTGCGACTAACAAGAAGCAGTTGAAAGTTCAAATGTTTAAATAAAAACATGAGCAAACGAAGAAAAAACTAAAGCATGACTAAACAAAGGAAAATTGAAAATGAAGGAATATTCATGGGCATGGCGTTGTAAATTTGAGAGAAATCATCAGGTGAGACAATCCCTGATAAGATTGATCATCTTTTCTGGTAGATACCGCGGAGCATGGTCCAGGCGTGGGTCGATATACGCTAAATTAGCTGTTGAAATCAGCGTTTGTTTTCACTGTACCATCCTCTTTCCTCGTTCAACATCCAAGGCGCTTCATTATTATTTCGAAACTTCGTTGTCCGTGAGTATGCTTCACACTTTATCACCTGTAGTAGTCTCTCACAGCACGTAAAAGATCCAATAGCCGGCGTTGAACACTATGAAGCTCACGGGAAAAATAATACGCGAATATTTGTCGATGATGTTGACGTCCTTGATCTTTGGCATTGACGCCTTCAAGACCGATGCCCCCCGGCGTATCGCGTGCAGGACCTGCAACATTTAGACACGTGCACTGATTCTCACGCAAACTACAATCTTATCTAAATAATGCTGCTTTCGCACAGATACTCATTTATCTCTTCGAGTGCATACGTATCCATTTGTTTATCAACTACTCGACTCAGCATATGCTATGTCGAAAATGAACGTTAATAAAGTTTCTGCGTACAAATCGACTCTATTCATGCATAAAAACTTGCTCGTTCACACTCGTTATAATTTACTTGTTGCAAACGTTCTAGCCGAAAAGTTCTCTTAATTTTTCCGACTAAACTTTAACTGCGGTTCATATAACTGGACGTAAACGCACTCACAAAAGAATGGCAGTCCATTTATGCGTCAGAAATGAATTAGATAAATCATTGAAACAAAGAGAAAAACCTAAAAGCGACAGCGATGATAAAATAAACATCAAAATATGTAGAAAATGGATGACACTTGTTGTTTAAATAATAGCTCTACGATAAGTTTACGCGTGCGACGCGGAAGACCATTGAAAGATAGCTACAATAGCATGTGTCGAGATTTATATCGAGTGGTAATTAAATAATAATAGCGATAAAGTTAACGAAGCACGCGTTTGTCAATCGAATAAAAGCCGTATTTTTCGTTTTCCTTCTTCGAGACTTTTCTTTGAAACGTCAGAATTTTTTCAAGCAACAATGAAAATAAGGAAAATTTCCGAAAGCCAATGTTACGCATTGTCCGATAAATATGATATGGCGGATGAGCATTCAACGATCTACTTTAATCGACCGAAAGGAGCTCTCCAGATTTGTCAGTGATCCAGAGAGCTCGCAATCGGAACGAAAATTGATCTTCCGTTCATTCAATCGTATGTGTCGCAGCTCAACCGCTGTGCGTAAATAGAGATTGATCGGTCGATTAGAAGTTTTGTGAATGTAGCGACTGTGGTATTTGGACGACTGGCGTACCTTGGGTTTCGGTTGTCTCGCGCCACGATACCTGAGGCCGGCATTGTATCCAGGAGCCCGAGTAATGCGAAAACTCGGCGGGAACTTTTGCTCGTGGTCGCGTGCCGGAGTACCGGCAGCGCTGCTGCTGCTCGCAAGGCCCGATCGATTCCTTATGCTCGGCAGCGGCGACAACCTCAAGTCCTGCAGCTCGATTATATCCGCGTCGGTCGAGCCGGGAAATGGGGAGCTCGCCTTGCTTCCTGTCGGCCGAGATTACCCATTTTGTACGTCAGATACGTATATACACTCGCCAACTTGACTGCGATCCGTCGCTTCTAGCAAAATCATTTAGTCTAATTGCTGCCCTTCGTAACCCAATTAATGTCTTTTTTTCACGAGGGCATCACTCGCGATTTTCACGACTTTTATATTCCCAAATTGCACAGCTCTAACTAGCAATCGACCTGTCTTAATTTTTTCAAAATCTTTATCTTCTCAAAGGCCACTCGTTTGTTGGAAATATAGTCGATCAATTACAATATGAAATTCAATAAGAATCAACCTAATCGGTGTGTACTAGAGGCCGAACTAGGTTCTTCAATTGTTACTAAAGCCGTTTGATCTCAAGCGTGCAGCAAAAGAGAAAAAGATCAGGAGACAACGAAAAAAAGCTCGCGAAGTAAGGTCTGGCAATCGAGGCAATTACTTAAGCTCACAGAGAGAGAAGAGAGAGAGAGAGAGAGAGAGAGAGAGGGGAGAGAGAGAGAGAGAGAGAGAGTTAGAGAGGTATCTGAAACTCGCTGCTTCTTTTGTTTTCCAGAGCGCGCGCGACACTTTTTTTCCTCTCGTTGTTCGCTCTAGCATTGAAGCGTATACACGTCACACACTAACCGGTCTTTGAAGAGCAGATGGTTTTTTTCTCCTCGGTCTCCTTCTTCTTGCTCTTCTTTTTGGCCCTGGCACCCCAGTAGGTGTAATTAACGGCCGCGTACTCGAGCAGCGCGGCGAACACAAAGACAAAGCACATCACCAAGTAGATATCGATGGCTTTCACGTAGCTAATGCGCGGCAAAGAGCTCCTCACTCCCGTTGATATCGTGGTCATCGTCAGCACCGTCGTTATACCTGCAACGACAGAACGCGCGCATCATTCGGCGTCCCATTCTGCGCCGCGAAGACGCCAACCCGATCGTTCGCGGATGTGCCGTTCGCGGTCTTCCGGCCCGATCACTCCATACGACGAAAGCGAACCGACAAGCGAATCGACTCGGCTAAATTTGACCGGACAACGCGTGGCGAATGATCACGGCAAATCGACAAGATAGCTTGGTGTAGTTTCACGAAATTCCAGTGAAGCTCGTCGTAGAGAGGCGGGACTAGTCAGTTTAATAATATTTTAGGCATAGTTGCCAAAGTTTCGGGAATATTTCGAATATTCAACACACTCGTGCATCTACATTTAAAGTGGCGTCTGAAAATCTCGCGGGCGATAAATCGGGCAAGCCGGTAACGCGTGGACCCAAAGTATTTGAATGAAAAATATTGACCGAGAGCGACGCGGGCGCTGGTCGCCTCGTGATTGATCCAGAAGCTGACCCAGCTGAGCATGACGATGAGGATGCTTGGCAGATAGGTCTGGAAGACGAAGTAGCCGATGTTCCGTTGTAGCTTGAAGCTGAGCGAGAGCCTCTGGTAGACGCCGGTCGCAAGGGCCTCCTTACGGTCGTTCGTCTCGTAGCCGATTATCGTGAACTGGGGCAATTCCGCCTCGTCCACCCCGCGCACCGGCGTACTCTTCCACGCCATCACCACGTCCATCACGGTGTAGCCGTCTGCAATGCACACACACACACGTGTCCCTCAGAGGCTATTCTTCTTGCACCTCTCTTCCCCTTCGCCATTGTCCTTGTTCTTCGCGAGAGCTACTTCGTTCCGCAACATTTGCCACGAATCTCACGATTTCGCGCATACCCACGACTGATCGAGGCTACTTCCATCTCTTCTCCCCGTTCATTCAGACAATTTTGAGACGAACTCGCTTTTAGTTGTCATTTTGTCGAATTTCATTCCAATGTGAGTCCTCACTTTTTCCACAATTTATTTCTCTTAACTCTTTAAATGGCTTCAATTGTAATTCAGTGCAACTCCAATTCAATAGACGATTCAAATCTTTAGATTTATGATTAGGTCAGTCAACTATCCTACTCCGATTTTATAGCGAACGAATTGATAAAAAGCGCTTGTACGCGCAACTCAACGTGGCGAGGTTCGCGGCTGCGATCGCAATTAAAAAGCGAGCACGACGACGCGTGGAGCACGCAAATTAAAGTCCATTCTTTAAGAGAATAATCGTCCGTTACAGAAAAATGACAAAAGCCATTCTGATGTACGAACTATACTCGTGGCTACATAGTATACGCGTGGAGATTAGGAAGATCGAGGCTGAGCCTCGATGCGGCTGATGGGACCTTCGTCTGTGGTAATCCCATCCTAGCGACACAGCAGGGACTATAGGCTAGCCACACATAATAATGAAACGAGTGGATTACCATACTGCTGCGGTTTCGTTTTGATAATGTCGATCAATCCCGCAAAAGCCTTCAATATGCTCACGCGTTATCCGCGCCTCTTATTATTATATTATACTCTTTGTGCGCCTTCTATTTTCCTCGTCATCGTCATCTTCTTCTTCCTTGTTTTTCTAATTTTTCCGCTTTGATAACTCGATTGGCGTTTGACAAGATATTATGTTGATTCATATATGCTCCGAATTGATTGGCTCGAATGTAATCATAAGTCGATTTCGACAAACGCCTATCCTAGAAAACGAGCGATTTATCGGGTCTTTGTTAGAGCGTAGTGCTTTGCGCGATTATCATCATTATTATTGTTATCATGAACTAGTTCGTTTCCCCGAGTTCGCGATATTACAGAAACATTGTCAAAACCATTATTTCGTTCGGTTGCTTCATTCTCGCAACAATCAATGGCATTATTTTTACTTGCGATAGCCTTATCTTGAAATTAATATTTTTAACGGCCGATGCACTACAATCTGCTCTGCTTATGACGATCACCGATATAAATCTGTGCGACAACTTTTCGGATCACCGTGAGAACTTCAACTCGTGTGCCGTTGACGGAATAGCGTTTCACCAATCTTATCGTGCGAGCGCCGATTCCCTTCATGTTTACTCGCATAATTGAATAAATAGCTGATGGTTTGTTTACAGCAGATAAGAAAATACAAGCGTCACGGCGATACTGCAGCCCATTACTTTCCTCTTTGAATGACCGTTTCGCGTTTATGACTTGCGATAGTTTGCAATGAGCCATTTGAAATCTCAGCGAAATCCAAAGAAGAAGAAGAAAAGATCGATAGCTCTTTCTTCCTCGCGAGTGTTATTAGCCACGAGAGAATGGAGGTAGGCTGTCGAGCTGCTGTAGGCGAAAAAGAAGAGAAGTAAGATAAACGACGCATCTGAACGTACAGCTTTCAATCTCAACGGTGCAATTCTGCGAGTCGAGGGGGTAATAGTGGAGGTCCATCATGCAGGCCAGGGTCGTGGTGAACCTCATGCCGTACGTCACCGAGCCATCGCCGGCTAATCGCACGAGCTTGTTGCGCTCCGTCACGTCGTGCAGGAAGCTGTAACAATACAATGCACAAAAGCTCGCTCGTTTGCTCCTTCAGAGAGGAAAAGATTGGCGCGTCGATAAGACTTTAACAAAGAGAAAAACATATGTGGTAAGCTTCTTTCTTTTTGCCCAACGCGGGGTGTACATATATGTACGTTGATGGATTAGTTTTCGAAAGTGCTTGGATACATAGAAATCTCGAAGCTGCGCCCTTGCGTGAGGTTATCGATTTTTTTTTCTCGCTCATCCGCGACTCAAGGAAAAAGAAGCAATTTTTTTTTCTCGAGGAAGTAGAGCAGAATTTTTTTCCGAACGAGATATTCCGAGAGAAAATGTCCAGAGTGCGCGTAAACGCATTGTCGATTCAAGAAACGGAGTCGAAGGCGGGGGTGTAAGGATGGCAAGCGGGTTCGGCCGTTGCTGTTGTTGTTTCGAAAATCACGATCAGCTGAAATTTTCGATTTTCCTTTGCATTTTCTCTCGTCTTTTTGTTCTTTGCCTTCAAGCTGGAAGTGCCCGCGCGAACTTTTTTGTCGTCGCGAAAACACTCAGCGAAATAAAACCGACATGACAGCAGTTTGAGGGTGTTAGGTGCCAGCCACTTAAACTACTTTTCCACGCTTACTTTACCGTCTAGCGCCTTAGAATTTATTTTTAATTTATTCAAGATTGTACCTTGAAGATGAGATTTATAAAAAAAAAATAAAATAAAATTCGAAAAATTCTGTGAAGCTGTGGTACCGTCAAGCTCTGTCTTTAACGTCGAGTGCGGTTGTACAAGATTGTTTGTGACGTTGTATACGAATTCTAACTGTGTTTGATTACCATTTGTGTAAATAGGAATAATTGTCGTGTACAGTCTAGTAATTGAAATATTAAGGCAGTGTCATCATCGGAAGCTTTTCCAAACTGTCACGAGGACATTTCTGGTATGCTTTCCCTTTTGATACGCGGACATCTACAAAACACTGTAAGAATTCGAGATAACATGGGCTTCTGTTAAAAGTTACTGTAGCTGCTTATTCACGATATGTGTGTTATGGATATTCGATAAACTTGAAAACAATAAATATTTTTGACAATTATTGTCATAAAAAAACGATGTGGTTTTTGAAGAACAAAGAATTGAAATACGAAGCGCGTTACAATTCGGAGAACATTTTTGTAGTGGTACTTCGGGTACGACCCATAAGATGGAACTATTTTTAATGAAAAAAGAATGTAGAACATCGATAAGTGATTTCGCGTATAAGGCAACATTTTGATCCGGATCACAGAAATATATATTTGCCGATCGACATATCGAGTCTTCTCATATCATTCCACAGCTTACAAGTAAATTCGGTGTTTGGAAGTGCAAGTGCACACGCTCACAGATTGAACTGCATCTTGGGGCCGATAACAGACGATAAAAAGTAATATGAATGAAATCAAGGCGTGAAACTCGTACACGTGCATGGCAAGCGCTGATAAGAAGAGCACGTGAAAATTTGTCAAGAGAAAAGGGGAGGGGCAAGAAGAAGGAAGCGAGTGACAAACGAGCGGCTGCAAGCGGCCCACGCACGCGAGTAAACATAAAGAGAAAAAGAGAGAGAAAGAGAGAGAGAGAGAGAGAGAGAGAGAGAGAGAGAGAGAGAGAGAGAGAGAGAGAGCGAAGCGTGGCGGGAGCGTCGTTGAGAGATGAGCAGATAAGATAAGTATGAGAGAGAGATAGAGCGAGAATAGTTCATGAGCAGCAGCTACTGTGCATCACCGTTAATGAAGAGGAAAAGGGGGTGAGGGTAGGTCGTGCGGAGTATATAGCTAACTGGTTGCCGTCAGCCCTTGGATGACTCGCCATTGACGGGCTGGCACTGGACGTATGTATATGTATGCCCGTGTTGGAACGGGGTCAGGGTGCCAAAAGAACCCTTGCTTTAAAGAGAACTGTTTTACATGAGCTCCGCTTAACCCACATTCCGCCCAGGCTACTCGAACTCTCTCTCCGGCGAAAAAAGAAAATTGATTCTTTCGTCTTGTTCCTTGTGCACTTATTGCCGCGCCACCGAGGGCAAGCCAATCTAAGCACGCGCTTACCTTCGTCTCTCTCTCTCTCTCTCTCTCTCTCTCTCTCTCTCGATTGCGGCCTACACAACGCCTACAGCTGTATATTGTCACAGCTGCTGTGCGCCGCGGAGACGCCAAGCAATTTGATAGCAAAACGCCAACAAGTGTCAACAACTTGCCTTGGCCAATTGCTTTGTCTGCTACAGTCTTTACATCGAGCAACTGAACTCGCATCGACGCTCACGTGTGTACATTGATAAAGATCTCACCTGTGTTTATCGTTAGCGAAAAAGGTGTCCGGCACCCAGATTTTCTCAGCAAAGTCGCCGCTGAGCGTTAAAATTTCCTTTTCGTGCGAGAAAGCCAGCCTCTCGTCCTTCCAATATTGATTGAGGTACATCGTTATCGTATAATCCTGGAAACACGTCACGCCATTCAACCTCATCGTACTTCCAGCATTGTCTCTACTGGTAAAGTTTATACTCTCGAATCCATTATTTTTCTCCATCTGTTTACGATAAAGAGGCTCGAATTCGATGGCCTCCCCGAAAGTTTGCTATCGCTAATTGTCCCCTTGGCCATACAATCGCTGCAGAGATCGGCTATCGCCCTCTGTTTTCTCCCAATTTCTCCTGCCGTTTCGACAAACGAGAGCGACTGTCTGTTGGCCTGCCAAGAAATCGCGCAGTAACGTGCATACGTGCGCAGCGCGCTCGCGGCGCAGGGAAAGAAGACGAGGAAAAAAAAAAAGCTGAAACTCGCGCATCAAACTGCCGAGATGAAAAGGCAAACGCGCGCGCAAGGAGGAAAAATCAGCAGCGGGCGTGCTAACAAATCGCGCGGAGGCGCGATGGCTCATGCGCGAAATCGTTTGACGCATCTTCCAGTCATCCCTCGCGCGGGCGTTTATCAGCGCTTTCTTTAACGGGCTGCAGGCGCGGTGAAATATCTCGCCGACAGCTGCCTTCTGCAAGACGGACGGTTATGTATTGCGCGCTCTCTCTCTCTCTCGCGCTTTTATCGGGCCCCTCGCGCTCCGAATGATCGCAGCTGCGCACACTCTCGCCGCGACTCTCGAGGGCAATATACGTGTGCGCATCCGAAGAAAGATGTTGTGCTTTCCTCATAGATAATGCGCTGTCGCGCGCCTACTCGCGCATTAGAAAGACCTTGCGCCTCGTATCTCCTTTTTGTTTATTTGCGAGAACCCAACGCAGCTTTGGGGGTCTTAGTCTCTGTGCGTAATGTAATCTTTGTCTTTTCTAGATAACGCCGCGTTATCGCGCTTTGTTCGGAGTTTCCAGGGTTATTCAGTGATACGGAAACTTTGCGGTTAGTCATTGATAATTCGCAACAGCGACAACAGTCCGAAAACTGGTATATATTTGAAAATAATAATTTTTATCGATTACGATTCCTGGCATCTCGTATTATGGTGGTTCGATCGTTATAATTACAAGATTGTCCCTCCTCGCCTCCGAAACGTTCGATGGATATTGCTACTTTTTCAGTCACAAATAAAAAATCTTTCTTATCACGCCATTATATTTGTATATATTTATATGTATGTCTATATATATATATATATATCGAACAAAAAGTAGGTTAATCCAGTTCTCAAAACTTTCAATACGTCTTTTGTCAATCGTTATCATATTCGAAGCATGATGATTCAATCGAATAATAGACTTTTATTTCTTTCCTTGAAGTGTGTCGAGTTGAAGGATAAGATTATATGGACTATTTTTAAACGAAATTTTACACGGAGAACAATTTTTTACCCGGGCTATGTTTGTCAACATGCACTTGACATCGTCACTTTCCTCGTAAAAATGGGAACTCGATTGTCCACGCGCATCATCGCTTCATTTCCCCCCTAAAACGACAAAGATATACATCGGGCGATTATGTCACTGAACGCCGCGCGTCATAATTCTTTTTCGAGTCCGTACGCGCGTGGCGCGGCGGTGGCGAGCATGCTAAACGACGTCGAGAGGTTGCAAAATTCATGGTCAATTAAAGTGGGTCGGAAACGATTTTCAGCATTCGAGTGGATACCAGCCGCCCTCTCTGCGTCGAGAGAAAGAGGGAGAGAGAGAGAGAGAGAGAGAGTTTGCCGCCAATTATCGGATTAGTCGGAGCTATAAAAATTTTTTTCTTCTATTTTGCCTCGATCCGTATTCTCGATTTTCGATGAAAACCCGCACCTTTGCATGCTCTCCGTATTCTCTCTCTTCTCTCTCTCTCTCTCTCTCTCTCTCTCTCTCTCTCTCTCTCTCTCATTCACGTGCGGCCGCGTGTGAGATTTATTCGCAAATTTATACGAAATCCACTTTAGCTGGATACACAGTTTGACCATTTGCTTGGCAAAGTTCAAATTCACTGCTTCAGCTGGATACTTTTGCAAAGTGCCTTCGCTAATTTATACTATATTCGGCTGCGATTGGAAATGCGAAGAGTTACGCCTGTGGGCATTATAGTTTGCGAGGACTCGACTTTCGTGGAAATTAAAACCAAGTGTAGTTCTTAGCTCTAAATCGTTTAATAATGGGTCAAAATGTTAGCATTTTGTTGTATGCAGGTGAACGAAATTGGTCGCGATAAAATAAAAATACCGTCAAGTTCGCATTGAGTGAAACGTTTTAATTGACACTTGATTCGCTAATCCATAGTTCATACGACCAAGAGATAAACAGTTCACTATCACATGGATATTACATATATCGCTATCTTCCAATCAGAAGAAAATACTTGAACACGTTTAATATCTAAGTGTGACACGCCGTATGAGTTATACTATCTATCTGTGTCCAATCTCGGTTTGATGTTGCGCATTCGCGTAATATTTCCGTTTCCGAAAATCCATTCAATTTTACACATCTTGTGAATACATTCTCGTTAATTATTTGTGACCTACATGTTTTACATGTATTAGTAGCATTCATTGATGTCATGTATTTCTTTGCTAGTTATTCAAGATATAATACAGGAGAAACCTCATTAGTACATACGCTGATGTATATTTATATACATTCATGGAAATATATGTATAAGTACAGCGTGCGCTTCTTTCAAATGAGTAAATATTTAAAGCTCATATATGAACAAAGAAATGTAAATATAGTTTGCTTCCAAATTCTGCGATAAGTTTTGAATTTAATTGTTACGCAAATGTAATTAATTTACACAATGACAAAGTTCTTACTGTGTTTTTAATTCAATTAGTTTTCAATTAAGAAAATGCTTCTTAAAGTAAACAGTTCCTATGTTACATGAAGAATTGTTTCTTTTTTAAGTAAGCAAAAAGTTTTTAATTCAATAACAATCAATTTAAAAAACTGCTTTAGTGCATTTTTCCTTGTTACCATGTTAATTTTGAAATGAAGTTCAATGTATTAACAGTAATTGATAATTTCGTTTCATTCAGTCATATGGATTCAGAATCAGTCCTAATTTAAAGTGGAATGTTTTGTAACTTACCATATTGACTTCGGAAATAGCATCAAAACTTGCTATCGTTAGATCCATTTCAACAAACAGAGGTTCACCTTTGAACATGAAAAAAGAAGTAAGTAGATTGAAATGTCACATTTCAAGTATTGATTGAACCGTAGAATCGTTTGACAGTTTACCAAGGTTCAATATCGAGATGAGCAAAGTATGGCCGCGAAAGTTTTACGGCGAAAAAAGATTTGGTTGCCGGAGTTGGAACTTTCCGTGTAATGACTATGTTCATACGGGAAAATGTCTTCAACATTCTATCTCCGATCGGCAATGCACCGCAAATCGAAATCATTAGGAGGAATTTGCGGATAAAAAGCGCATTCGAAAAGAAGATAACTCGTCGGAAAGTAATGAATTAGATATTTGCCGTACGAATATTGCTGGTATATGTAGAGATCGAAGGAAAATACAAATCCTCGCACGAGATAAGGAATATCTGGTTTTCCAGCTGGCCTGATCGCGGCGAGCATATCGGCTATAGCGCGGGATTCGCAAACTGATCGGAGCGCGTGTCGCGCTCGGGTGGGCTCGATTAGCGGCGCGGGGAATCTCGCTCGAAAGGCCCGCCCTCGGCCGAAGGCCGCGCGAGCGCGCGAGGGGCTTGCGCTCAATAAAACGTAAGCGCTTTACTTCCACTCATTGCGCCGTTCAATTAAAAGGCGCTAACGATCGCGCTCGCGCGCGCGAGCATCGTGAATAGCCCGGCTGCCGGCAGCAAATTCCATTAAGAGTTCGAGTGTGGGCGAGAGCGCGCCGCGCGTCTATCGAGTCGTCCTCTCCGAGCCGCCGCGCGCTCAATCGTCGTAATTAGCAGCGACAACTTGTGCCGCCACCACCGCCCCGAGACTTGGTCGCGCGAGCGAGCCGGAGCTTTATTTGCTTCGCGCGTGGACAATTTCGAAAACGGCGTGATTCCGCGACCCGCAGCGCCAAGCGCCGACCCCCATTACGAGAGATTGCCCTGGAAATTGACGTTCGAGTTGGCGTTGCTTTTGCAATCTCTCGATCCACGAAGGTATAGCTACGATCTCGAAATGAGCTGAGATCGCGGGAGCAATCGACGGGAATGCAGTGATGATTAATCCAGACAGTGGGACTTACCGCCGAAATTCGGCCTGAGCCGAATGTCGTAACCGTCGAGGATCCTCGAAATCGTTTGCGTCACGTTCGCCAGCCTGTCCGATATCTCCGTCGAGCCACTCTGAAAAAGACTGCCAGACACGACGACGGTACAGCGATACACACATATACAATGACGGAGAGGGGCCATCCCTCCCGGGACTCGCTTCTAACCGGACTTACACTTGAGCTATTTAAAAATTAGCAGTTCGATTCTCTCCTGTGTGCACCCTGTCCATTCGCTTTCTTCTTTCTGTCTTAACGACTTGGGCAATCTAATTGCTCGGGTACACTTTGACGTGGCGCCTTTTCCCGCGCCACTCTTCTAATGCGATTGCGATAAAACGCTTTGAGCATTGCTGACTTTGCGCCAGATTTTATTACTCGGACATCGTTAATTGAGCCTTTGCTCGGTTCTCAAAACGATAGTGGCAACAAAGGGATAACCGTTCCCGATCGGCGTTATCCAATTACGAACGAATCTCCGTTATAGGCGACCTTAACGCAACAGCAACGCGGTCCCACCGAGACGACGTTTGCGCGTGGTGGGCAGCGAGTCGCTAAAATATCGACATTTATGAGAGTTTCATCGCAAAACGACGTCCGTACTTTTAGCTTTCAATCTCTCGATCGATTTGACGCCAGTTAATAACGCGCGCTTTCAAGATATTGCTTTTCATTATATAGCGCTGCAACGAAAACGCCAGACGCCAGAGACAAATAGAATCAAAGGTACATCCTATACGATATCGTATCGCGAACTTTAAGTGGAACAACTCGGTTATAACGAGGCGCGAACGTTTTCCTTTTTATTATTTCCTTGCTTGGTCTCGCCTTCACTATCGCAGCGCGCAATAATCAACCGACGTTTTATGCAAAACGGATCTATTGCTTTCAGGACTGCGTGAAATTTTCAATCGACGGGAGGCTGGGTGGAAACTTTATTAAAAACTAGTGTCCTACAAACTTTTTCCCTTCCACTTTGATAGCGTGGACGCAAACATCCCTGGGCCTTTTATTTATTTGTCTTCTCGCGACCGACTTCATCGATTCTCTCTTGTTCCGTTTTTGTGTCTTCTTTTTTTTTAATTAAAAGTTTTTCGCGTTACCACTTTGCAGGCGAAAATCATCAAAATGTAATGACGAAAAGAAACAATTTCCAGAAGCCGATACAAGCACACGAATAACGCGAGTACCAAGCTGAAGTTCGAAACCGGCGTTCGGCTGTACCCGCAAACGAAATAGAAGAACAATCTTCGAATGCCCCTCGCGATGCCATACAGAAAGAGAGAAGGAAGATGACGGCGCAGAGAGAAAGCAGCTTGGAGAGGGGTAAGCGTTGCATTGTTTTGGTACAAGTGTAATAACTTACCAAGCGGCTCGATGCGAGAGTAGCAACGGCAGGAGAAGCAGCCAGCAGAATACGGCGGCGGGCGCGAGGCCCGTCATTCTCCCCGTAGCCGCGTCACCAGATCTGGATCAAGGTCGCGGGCAGCAACGCCAGCCACCGACAAGCAGCCCAGTCAGCATCTCGCACTACCCACACACGAGCGCGCGCGCGGGCGCGTACAGACATACGTGACAACGGCATATTTTATGGATTGCTCGTCACATCGATTTTCACGCGCGTCTTAAATTTTTGCCACGCTCTCTCTCTCTCTCTCTCTCTCTCTTTGTTTTTTTTTTCAATTTTACAACATCGACCTCCGTGTCCTCGGCGTACTTTTCCGCGAGAGCGTTGCTTGGGCTATTTTTACGAGGTAAGCGACGAATTTGTACCGAACAGACGCGTCGATGCGTCGTAAGCAGAGTGAGACAGGGAGTCACACCACTCGGCGCATTGCGATGCAACTTGCTGCGAACTTACTTGGCATTAGTGGGCACGCTAACTTTTGCACTAGCGCACTCTATCTATTTCGTTGCATTGGCGTGTGCGTTCGTCAAATGATTTTGCGCTAGTTTCGATAAAACTCGATCTTCCGATGGCACCGCTGATCATCAGTGCAATGTGCGCAAGCTGTCGTTTCGCAGGACGCTCTAATCGCGTAATTAGGCGACGCGCGCTCTGCTTGTATTTCACAATCGGCGGTTTAGCGCACGGCGACGCACAAACGCCTCCCGATCGGGAATCCGCTGGCCGTCATTACGTGACTTGAGCACGGGTGTACCTCGGGTATAGCTCGGATCGAGATGATCGTTCGTAATCGAACGCGAGACGGCGTTCGCACTCGGAAAATCGACTTGGAAGATTAATCGAGCGTACGGTTGCGCGCGCGCGCTACGTTACACTCGACGGGACGCTACGCTAGAAAAATAAAGCCGTCGCTATTCAGCGAAAAGTAAAGCGAGGCGCGCCGCTCGGCAATTGAAAGAAACTCGTCACGCATATAGATCGAGAGAGCGTTCTCCGGGTAGACAGCGCGCGCGTTGTGGCAGTCGAGGGACGATAAGCGAAAGAGGGAAGAGGCGAACTCACAGAAGAGCAGGGCCGAGTGCAGAAGCGAGTGCGGCGGTGCCGCGGCTGGTCAGTGTCGACGAGTCGTCGCCGTGGCTGCAGCGCCGACAAGGACGGCTGGAGCAGCGGGGGGTCAGCCCCGCCGCCGCGCCAGCCGGGCCCACTCATGTGCCTCGACCGAATCGCAGATGCTCGGCCTGCTGGTGACCTGTCTCCGCGATCCTCGCCGCAGCCGCAGCCGCCACCGCCGCTGCCGCCGCCGCCGCTGCCGTCGCCGTCACCGTCGCCGCCGCCCGATCGATCTCGTCGCTCGCGCACTTTTCAAACGGCGTGGCCGCGGACAGTCAGCAGCGGAGACGCGCCCATCGTCGCCGTCGTCGCCGTCGTAGCTCGCTCGCGCGACGACGCGCAAGCCGCGTTTTTCCGCGACGATAATCGCCGAGGGCAAAGGCACGCTACCAGCGCCCCTTTTTTCCTCCACCGGAGACTGCCAGGACTAAGCGCGCGCGCCGCGCCGCTCGCTCGCTCTCGCCTAGTGAACCAACCAACCGTCTGCGCGAACACGCCTGCGCCAGCGGATGCTGCGAGCAAGACAGAGAAGCAGCGACATCTCCTCGTCGTCGCTCGGCCGTCGCGCCGCGCCTGCCCCGTAGCCTGCAACTGCCAAAGCTTTTAATACCGAGTGCAGCCTTCGCTGCCAGTTGCGCTTTTCCGGGCTTTCGGCGCTTTTGCGAATCGCTCCTCTTTATTTCCTTCTCTCTCTCTCTCTCTCCAAAACTCGGCCGAATTTTCACTACTGCTAGTTCTTCTTTCTTTCCTTTTTTTCGGAGATTTGTACGCCGACATCTTTTCGCGTGTCGGATCGATTGAGGAAGTCGCGAGAAAAATCGGTTTATCGCCTCAACAGCTTTATGCATATTCGCTCACACTTTAGGCAAGAAAACCTTGCTGATGCGCGCACATATTTAAATGATATTGTCCACGGTCGTTTCCGAGGCTCGATGAAAATATTGGGTCGCTGTTGAGCCTCGTTCGAAGAAACGAAAAACGATGTACCGGATAACTTCATTCCAACATTCGAAGTAGAATAGTTTATTAAGACGATCGTCCGCGAAATAAATATCTCGCCGATGTGAGCTCTCGGCCGGAAAAGTTTGTCGAAATATAAGCAAACGGCAAGCGTGCCAAAGTTGTAAAACGCGAGGAAACAAGAAACGCTCTCGCCTACTCGCAACGCAGGGAGGGAGAGACTAGTCAGAGAACAAACGGAGCAAACATTTGCCCAGGCATACATGAGATCTGTTGGGGAGAGCAAGAGGGGGTTTATAGTAACGAACTATAAACGTTCGTGTCCACAGAGCAGTTTAAGGTCAATAGCTCAAAACTTTGACTGGCAGGAAAGTGCAGAGGCGCGATAGCAGGGATGGCAAAGAGAAGCAGGAAACAGATCGCACTGCTCGCGAGTAATCATACTCAACGCATGGTCGACCGTGCCGCAGAGGGACTCTGGCTCTGCGGGCTGCCGCTCACTTTTCTCTCTCAATCTTGCTTCGGCCGCGGCGCGATACTTATACATAACGGAGAAACACTCAGAGCCGAATATTTCGAAATGAGAATGGTTGTCTTTTACCGGAGAGGCAAAAAAAGAAAAATGAATACAGCCGTGATGAAGCGAAACTCTCGGATATAAGGCTCCTCTTTTTCCGCTTCTTCGCTCGCTCGAAATATCTGCGGCTCTTTAATGAGCGAGAGCCTCTCGAATGTTTATGCCGAGCTGTTGGTTGCATAATTGACGCTTATAGTCGAGGTCGAAGCCTATATATCGATCACCATCCACTCGATTTACTTTCTTCTTTTTCGGCACAGTGCCACAGATGAATCATTCAATATTCCTTTTATCGGCGGCGGTGAATGCACTTGGCAAGTGGCGCTCTCTTCACAGCGGATACTCAATAATTATCAGCAAGCTAAAGGCTGAAAATGATGAAACGCCCTGCTTCCGTATTATTCATTTGTTAACGATTTGATCGAGACTCCGCTTACCGAGGTGTACGCTGCGAATTTTATCATTGTCGTGGGCTTTCTATTAATGAAAGCAATCCGTGGGCTTTGCGTGGCCTAGCTTTTTTTTTTATTTTTTTTTTTAATATCTGTGGATCACGACGACGGCTCCGTTTAGTAATTATTTTCGCAAGGCTCCATCTATTCAATCATTTGACCGAACAATTATTTCTTTCAAATAGAATATTAAATCAATTCCACTGTGTAAGGTATTTTTAGAAACGTTGTTCTCGCGGTTGATGGGTTCTTAGGTTTCCATGTGCCAAGTAGTAGCTGCTAATTAAGCCACGGTGAAACTCAACATGCGCCTATATGTGCCACACACACACACATACACACACACACATATAAGCTTAAGCAGTCAAAGTAAGTGTTGCTGTTTTCGGTTTCAGTTCAGCGCAAAAATAAACTATTTTTTTTACTTTGAAAGTTTCTCAACGATACGCACGTTTTCGACGAAGATGAGCGAATAAAGTTAGTGGTTTATTAGAGTTTCTTCCATCTCAAATATTCTCTACTTTTACAGATCTCCATCAGTCTTTTCATAGAGAAGTTATTTCACAGTCGACAAGGTACTGACAATGTACGTAGACGAAAACAATTCATTTTTATGTTTGTTATATGATTCACGGAAAATTTTAGGTCAAAAGTGACTGCCGAAGCTTATGCTTCAAACGTCTCTAAGCTTGTGTCATTTTTCGCTTGAAGTGAATATCTGCATGGCAAGCTAAAAATTTTTCATCGATAAAAAATGTTTTTCTTTTGTGCACAGACGTCGCTTATTATCTAGAATTGTTAGTATCAAGAGACTATGAAAAAATCATACGAATACTCGCGTCGATACATTTCATACGCAAACGTTTACGATGTTTCGTACGACGACACTCGTAGGGAGTACGCAGTGTAACTTTTATAAAGTTTAAGGATATCTTCTCGCAAAGTCAGAAAATTTATCAGAGAAAATTTCGCGTTATAAGTTACCTTTTTCAATAGAAAATCTAAAAAAGAATAAAGAGAATTGATTGAAGAAAACTTTATTCAAAAATATTTAATTTCTCAAGAAATTATGAAGGCTAAATAAATTGGATTAGGAAGATTTCTGCTAGTTTACGAGCAGCAATTCTTTGGATTTAAATTGTACTGTTTTGCCGTCTGGGTAACGTCGTAGTAGCTGTGGTTGGCTTGATTAGAAGTAGCTATATACTTGTATTTGTTCATGGGGCTCATCTGTACAGAAAGCAGCACCAGAATTTCCACCCTCGGGTGCTCAGAATTTTAGTTTAAACGCGAGCGTTCTAGATAGTAAATTTCTGTTGTATGGCTGAAATATAGCGCTTGTCCCAGAATTTCACCAATGATCGATCTGCAAATATCAACCTCTTTTATTTCTCTCATTCGAATAAACATATTAATCCAAAGCACCATATCCCACCGTTATTTTAACGCGCTGTATCCGAATAGAATTCTTAATTTAGAACATAATTCTGATTATTTTTTTCGCCTTTTCTTTTAGTAAAATGAAATGCAATCTCGAGTTAATTAGATCCGGGATTAACTTTTAATAAAAAAGGCATTATTTGTCGTGTGTACTCTTGGCCATGGTAGAATTCTGCTCTTGTTTCATTCTCATATATGAAAAACTTTTGTCAAACGTTCGAGTGGAAAAAAGACGTGCGCATAAGAAAAATGCGCAGTGCTATACATATGTCTCTGTAAACGTCTTTGCAGTCAAACTGCATTCAAATCTCCTAATATTCACAGCTTTCAAATTATTTTAGATTTCACAGCATTTAGAGTGTTTTAGCAAGCATTTTTTCGAACAATACTGGTTCTTAATAACAAGTCTTGAATTAATGCTTAAAGTTTTGTAGACCAAAAGACGCCCATTATACTCTAAAAAAAGATCTTTTGTCACAACCTCGCGCGGTGTTCATTTTTTTCTGCCAACGAAATCTCAGTCACGATTGCAATTATTTTCGTAATGAGAGTCTTCGAAGCATACATAAAAATAAGTGCGAACATTGTTTAAAAGTCTGATGGGTACGCGCATAAGGTACGCGACAACAATCGAGCTCATCTGTATCGGCCACAAGATAGCAAAGTAGCTACTCATCGTCGAAGTACATTCATAAGGCGAGCGAAAGAGAGAGAGAGAGAGAGATGGAGACAGAGAGAGAGAGAGAGAGAGAGAGAGAAAGCTCGAAGTGTAATGAGCGTGCGGAGGAAGAAGAAGAAGAAAGTAAGTCGGAGCGTAGCGCGGAGAGTAAAAGCGCTATATCGCGGAGCTTGCGCAGAGCTTGCGAGTGAGAACCGAGAGGGAGGCCGGAGAGCGAGAGAGTAAGAGAGAGCGAGAGAGCCGTGCACGCGGCCGCTGCTAGCGGAGCACGAGGCACACTGCACATCAGCAAATGGGGCCGAGCGACAACTCCTGACGGACCGCGCTGCTGCTGCCGCCGCCGCCGCCGCCGCCGCCGGTCGCTTCCTCCAGACAACCGACGCACACCGCTCTCGCCACCTCACCAGCATGAGCTTGTTAACGCTTGTCATGTGAGTCCTTTTTTCTCTCTCTCTCTCCCAGTCTCTGCATCGGAGTGACTCTTTTTCCCTCGGTCGACCGTTTCGCGCGCCGACGGCACCAGTGTTCGCCAAAGTGACTTTCCAAGTGCGACGTGCTCTTACAGCGTGCCTCCCTTAAATTTCCGATTAAAATTTAAACGCGACGCCGAAACAGCCTTTCGCGTCTCTCGTGATTTCATTACGCCCGTGTACACGCGCGCGCGCACGCGAGCGAGCGCGTTCGCAACGAATTTCGCGGCCTTTCTATACGCGACTGACAACAAAATCCAATTTCGATTGTTTTATTTTCTATTATCCGCGAACCTTTGCTTCGCGCTTGAACAATGCGCGTCCCTTTATATCACTCGAGTTTGCTGTTGCGTCGCGACTGCGACAGTTTAAAAATAAGCCAATAAACGCGTGTCTGCGGCGCCGTGAAGTTCGATCGAACAAAAAGCGCGAATTGCACATCGCTGTATATTTTATTCTTTTGAAAAAAGTCATCAAATTATTACCGTGCGCAATCAACTGATTAAAAAGAAATGAAATAACCACTTGATTTGTCCAGTGCGTAACGATCCCTACGTTGATCTTCGCCAAATGAAATGAAAGAAAATAGGAAGAAATTAATGACACTGTCCAGATCCGCGATGTTTAATACAGTCATACGTCGGTTATACGCGCTACCGCGCCGCGCAAAGTGGACTAATGTGCAGCAAAAGAAAGGGAGATAATTCACCCAAGCGAAGTGAGTGCGAAACGAAACGTAGCAATAACTTTTTTCGTAACGTGTACCAGCACGCTGTTTTTGAAATGGACTTCTCAGGATAATTTGAATTCCCGGCGCGAGCGCGCGGAAGGTTTGGCGTCTTATGTCCGTATAATAAATAACCGTCGCGTAGCGCCTTACATAATCCACTGGAGCTGCAGGTACATCGAGCCGATCGTTATCCCCGGCAATCCGTCTATCTTTTTCCCCACCTAACTCGGCTGTCCCCCCGCCCTTTTTTTCCTTCTCGTGAAAAGAATGCGAATTGATGATTCGATCTCCATATGGGACACGCGCGACGAGAGAAACGACAAAGGATGGCCGGGCGAAAGATTGATTCGAGAACGTACCGCGCGAAGAACGTTCATCGAAAGTTTCTCTTGCTTCGCTAGGGCTTATTTCTTTTCCAATTGACTCTATTCGCCGCGAAAAATGCGAATTCCCCGTTTTTATTTAGCCATTCAAATGAGAGAATAATATACAGTCTGCGGTCACGAGCTGTGCTGTCGAAGAGTACTTTCGTATTTCGTGGTTTTTCGTCTCGCGGATATTCCCATTGTGCAGTATAAATCACGAAGATTTTCGCGCAACGTCTTCCGTTTGCACTAATTTTCGAAAAACTTCGAAACGGCCCTTGAAGTGTAAGTTTCCGTGAATGAAAATATCGAAAGTCGATATTCGATTTCACTTTTTTTTTTCTTGACGTTATCTTGATAAGTTTCCGGCTTCGCCTCACATATTTTTTTGAATCGACGATTCCAAGATTTCACTGGGTTTTAAGCATGAAACCGCGCGTAATTTCAAACATACACCACGAGCTGCAAAAACTTTTCCAGATAAATCATAATTTTCCACCTCACTTGCATAAATTCATTTCGCAGTGCATTCGCGCTTTTTTTTCCACTGCAGAAATATATTATTCGAGCGAGCGCAAATAGAAAGTCGCAGCGCAGGCGAAACACAAAGAAGCCGTGGAGCTTGTAAAGCGCGCGCATTTTGGCGAGCCCTCGCATGAAAAGCATCCGCGGCGCGGCGTTGCCAAACAAAATCTCTTTTCTTCCGGGAGAGGCGAAACCATGAGCCAAGTCCCGCGTCGAAATCCAGCGCTAGGTAAACGGACGGGCGGCAGGTGTATTTCCCTCTCTCGTTCCGGCGACAAAAGGAGATGAGCCGCTTCATCGAGCTTGCGAGCGCGCGGATCTTTGACGCGGAGCGCGCTTTCTTCTTATTCTTTCTTTTTTTTTTTTTCATCTGCCGTAGGCCTATTGTTTGTCGTCGAGGCGCGTGTCTCCGGCGCACGCGGGGGAAAAAACATACACAGTCAGTCTGTCACCTGCACCCTCTGACCTCGTTCATATGCCTCGCTGTCCACACGGCGAAAGCTATGTAGTACAAGGAAAAGAAGAGAGAGAGAGAGAGAAAGAACGAGGTTGCACGAGGGAAGGAAGTTAGTCAGGTGTACCATCATCGCAATCGTTTTGCATGCACTTTGCCGATATAATGCTATTCACGCTCTACGCCATTGGTTTCTTTTTTCTCGAAAGCTCGCCTTTACGCATTCCTGTCAAGAGACGCAAAAGTCTCGAAATCGGAGTCGAAATTCTTACCTAATATTTTGTGGCCGATGTACGTACGGATGGTCGACAATGAAATAGATTAGCGTAAAATGTTATCCTGTAATTGTCGTTACACGAAATTGAATGTTCGGCCAGTCACTCACGGATCCACGTTATACCTATATCTCCTGCGTAGAACTGTACGTTAGACTAGCATTAGCATAACTAAGTTATCTTCTAGGTACAATGTCTACAAGAGAAATGCCATAACAGTCGGATGCATCCGTGCACTGCTAGCGTGTAATCAGAGGAATCCTGATGGAATTAGAATCGAAACGTTGACAGGCAGAGAGCAATGAAACTGATGGTAGTAGTAGCGTATAGAAGTGGTATTATCCGAGGCACGCATCGCAGCTTACGAGGAGCGCCGACGCCCCATAGAAGCAGGCCAGATGTATTGTTATTAGCGAAATTCAACGGAATTACAATCGAAGCGTTTTGACCGCTGTGGATCGAACGCGCGCTCTCGATTGGCCCCTGTGCAACTACGCGCGCGCAGAAATAATCGGAATCACGTCAAACACTCGATTGCCAATCAAATTAATCGGCAATATTATGGGAGTTGCGCGCCGCGCAGCGCGAGCTCTAATCCTTGGCAACTAATATTCTCGTTCGGCGAAATCTGTGGACCGCTGACAAAATCAATTCGAGCCCGTTGTTTCTAACGACGCCACCCGACAAAGCAATTAGAGCTTCATTCAATTACTCAAGTTCCCCTTTGGGGCAAGGAAATCGAGTTTTTTTGCTACTCCCTGCCAAGTACCTAGCGTTTTATCTTCCCTTGTAGATTAGGCTGGAGCAGTCGTGCGAGAGAGGGGAGGGGCTTTCCTCCTCTCGGCAGGCGGAAACCACCTTAACGCTACCGGCAAGCTTTCTCTCTAGCTCTCTCCCTCTCAGTGCGAAAATTGCAGTAATTACGCGATGCGCGCTATCATCGCTAATTTCGACGAGGCAACCCTTTCGATAATCAAATTATATCGAGTTTACGTCGTCAACTATTTACTGCTAGTGCGATACTTTTTTTATTTATATTGGTGTTACCACATGACGTATAAGTTTTGACTTTTGACAATTTACTTAAAATAATTCGTCTAATTGTTGTCGGAAAATCGAGAACTAAGTTATTAACTGTCGATAACACACTTCAATGAAAAAATGTCTATTTCTCAATTCAGTATTGTCAATTCTTCGTAAAAAAATATTTCCATTGTAACGCACACTTTGATTCAGCGCGTCAAATTTCCAATTTCAATCAAACCTGCTTTTTTCTTGCTATCCATCGTGAAGCAAACAGAAAGTCAACTACGCCACCGCTGACAAAGTGTTTGGATGAAATGGCCTAACTACATGTGTACATAAAGCGCACTCCAACACATCAGCAGTTCGCTTGACTCGGCGACGCTGTGTTTTACTACCGACAGCGTTACTTCATGAACTGCGACTCCGTTCACATAATTCAAATGTCGAAGACAATGTTACTTGGCATTCGTATCGAACAAAGTGCGCAATCTCACTCTGTGTACTTAAGTTGCATCTTATGTATACATAGTTTACTTTTAGATTTTCCATCTGCTGTACACAACCGTACTGATCTGACCAACTAGTTCACGTTTGCTGTCGAATGTAACGTTTGATAAAGTAAGACTGATGTATCAATTGTGGTTATCTTTCTTCTATTTTCATCCTTGTAGTTTCTATTTATTAAATGTGTTTATTGCGAAAGAAATATGACAATTGTCCACAAATACTTAACACCTTGAATGCAATATGCTTTTGCCAGAAGTGCTATCATTCAATGGTGCTGACCTCGTTTCGCAGAAAGATATCATTTAACTTTTTTTCTGCGGGGTTTAAATGAAATTAAATAAACTTTTCTTGTTAATTAAAAAAAAATTAAAACTCAGATTACTGAAAACTTTTTTCCTTTATTGTCTGTTACTTATTTTTCTAAAAATTTGAAATACTTACTCATTGCGTCTTGCCGTGCTACGAACAAACCTCTGATTCATACTCTGATGCATGAATTTCATCATTGAAACATTCATTCGAATGCACTTTAAAAAATATATATGTGAAATCAAATTATCTCAATTTTCTCACTCAATATTTTGTAACTTTTAAAAATAACAATAATATAATAGATATGGGTAATACTTTAATATAAAGTGGATTAATAATGTAACTGATCAAGATTGTTTAATGTAACTATTTGACGACTGATGTATTTCGTAAAATTTTCGACTAAAAACCTGTAAAATACCTTGCTTCTTTAAGCTTTGTCTACGACTTCACAAAAAAATGTGATCTCTTTCTCAAACGTTCCTTTGTTTGGTTACAGGCGAAAGCCAAAAAATCGTGGAGAGAAAATTTACTGAAAACCCATACATTTATTCATTTTAGCTGTATATATTAGAATGTGGTATTTAGAAGAAAACTTTTTTAAAAAAATATAATGCGTAATCTTCTTTCTTTTTTTTTTTATTTTCAATTTATAAGAAAAGAAAGAAAACCACCTCTACGCTTTACTCAGCCAAAGTGCTCCTTTATCGGCTTTTAAATTCTTGCATGGCTCAACGTTATTTACTCAAAGAATAGATTTTACATAC